TTTAAAAACAATACTATTGTTTGTGTGAATCTAGTGTTTAAACTTTTGGTAAATGATCTCTATTATGGTTCCATGCAGCCAGTGGCATTAGTGATTAGTCATAACTAATAATTGCCTCTAATTCCAAATAATGTTTTTTTATCATAACATAGGGAGGTGTTCCTAAACATGATGCCTTAGAAAGATTAAAGACATGAATGGAAGTTTTAAATACAAAGCTTTCAATTTTCTGTATTAAAATTAAAAATTAAAAACCATCTGAGAAGAAAACACTTTCAATATTTGACAGACAAAACTTAATATCTTTAATGTATAAACACTCTTTAGAAAAAATTTTTTAATGTTTATTCATTTTTGAGAGACAGAGAGAGACAGAGAATGATCGGGGAAGGAGCAGAGAGAAAGGGAGACACAAAATCTGAAGCAGAATCTCCAGGCTCTGAGCTGTCAGCACAGAGACCGATGCTGGGCTCAAAAACACAAACTGCAAGATCGTCACCTGAGCCAAAGTCGGACGTTCAACCGACTGAGCCACCCAGGAGCGCCTATAAATGCTCTTTTAAATCAATAAGATGTAAGCAACAATAGATAAAGAGCAAATATACATTGATGTAATTCATGAGAGAACAAGTAAAAATGGCCAAATAATGTCTCAGCTTCATGAGCAAGCAAACTACCTATCATAACAACTGAAACTACCTAAGAGAAAATTTTTGACATATAACCTTGGCAAAGATTCCAGTTAGTGAAAATTTATTTTTTCAAGGTAGTCATTTCTCATGGAATTATAAATTACAACAGTTTTACTCTAGGACAATTTGATGGTGTAAAGTAAAAACCTTAGCAGATTTTTGGTTTTACAGTACTAAGTTTAGAGGCCTCTTTTAGGCAACCAACCTGAGCAATGAAAACCTGAGTAAAGTAAAAGTGCCCACAGTGACCCCCAGGCTGAATACAAACAAGCCATTAGGCAACCCACCTCAAAATGTCCATAAACCCGGGGCGCCTGGGTGGTGCAGTCGGTTAAGCGTCCGACTTCAGCTCAGGTCACGATCTCGCGGTCCGTGAGTTCGAGCCCCGCGTCAGGCTCTGGGCTGATGGCTCAGAGCCTGGAGCCTGTTTCCGATTCTGTGTCTCCCTCAGAGCCTGGAGCCTGTTTCCGATTCTGTGTCTCCCTCTCTCTCTGCCCCTCTCCCGTTCATGCTCTGTCTCTCTCTGTCCCAAAAATAAATAAACGTTGAAAAAAAAAAATTAAAAAAAAAAAAAATGTCCATAAACCCTAGCTGACCAAAAAAGGAAAATTCTATTCGTTCCCATACCTCCCATCCTTCTCCTGTCAACTATAGCCCAGCACCACTGCCTCCTGGCAGACAGTCTCTTTGCTGCCCTGCCCACTGCTTCCTTGCAGTGTGTTCAATAAACTTCTATCTCCTTTGTTCTGCCTTGGGTGAACTCTTTCATCTCCTGGATGACTGCCTCCACCCGACTGGATTGCCCCACACTAAGTAGGAAAAGTGTTCCCCAGTCAGTTATAATATAGTTAGAAAACAAAATTCAACAGAGTAAATTTTATTTTTTTTCATTTTTTTAAACGTTTATTTATTTTTGAGACAGAGAGAGACAGAGCATGAATGGGGGGAGGGTCAGAGAGAGAGGGACCACAGAATCGGAAGCAGGCTCCAAGCTGTCAGCACAGAGCCCGACGCGGGGCTCGAACCCGTGAATCATGAGATCATGACCTGAGCCAAAGTCGGACACTCAACCGACTGAGCCACCCAGGCGCCCCTCAACAGAGTACATTTTAAAGATTTTATTGGCTTTATTCAAAGATGCATAAATCGGGCAGCATTCAATCTAGCAGACAGAAAGGAGCTCCAAGGAGCTGTAAAGAATGAAAGACTTTTATAGGCAGAAGGGAGCAGAAACAAGGAAGTTATACTAGACCAAAAAAAGGTTGATTATTGCCAGATTGCTTTCCTTTAGGGGGATGGCAGAGCTCTATCAGGCAGCTTACCTAACTAGAGCTAATTAGGCACTAATGTAAGATTCCATCTCTGGGAGAGCAGAAACTCTAAGTTAAGTCTCAGTTTGGTGGCATGGGACTTTGCAGAAGTGACTCCACTTTAGGCCTGTTGTCCTGTTTTTACCAGTATCTATCCCTCTAAAGCATTCAGATAAAGGAGACAAAACCTCTTCACATAAAGCCTGTTTGAACATTACAATTTTCACTCAAACTTTCACCTTAATCCTATCAACTCTTACATTTCTATATTCTCTCAATCTAATTGTAGCCCCTGGTAGGGCTTCACCAACAGTTGTTGATACCACCATGCATGCATCTCCTGTGTCCAGAAATCTTGGAAACTTCTTTTCTTCATCCTCTGACCATTTTACCTACTCCTGAGTGTCAGGCTTTGGGTCCCCAGCCAAGGGACCCTGCCCTTTTGTCAAACTTTATTTTGCTTAATCTGCCTATTGCCCCGGGTGATCATAGGCCAGGTTTCTCATTGTATTCTTTGCCTTCCAACTTTTTAAATTCCTCCAAGTTGGGGTAAATAGAGCAAAGTCATTTGGGGCATTTTAATGTTGGGGAACCAGCAGGGGGTTCATTTGGTCCACCCAAACTTCAATAGTGCTGTAGTAAGTACACTTTTCAACCCCATCAATGTCCGTTTTATTTATCTTATTTGTTAATAACCATCTAAAGATTTCCACCTTACTGGGAGAGTTCTTTGACCCTTCTCTGTTCCCTTCCCCATTTCCTTGTCAGCTAATTTAATTTTTTTTTTTTTTAATTAGTCTCTGGAAGACCCATGAGAGGAAGCCCAGGAAACAAATTTGGTAAGACTTCTCAGACATTTGCTTGCTTTTGCCCAGGGAAATCCCATTCTTAAGGAGTTTTAGTGGAGGTTTCATTACCTAGGCAAGATTGATCAAATCATTGGCCGTTCACAGTTAATCTCTAGTTAATCTCTAGTTCCTGTTACCTAAGAGGTCTGGAGTGGAGCTAAAAATTCCAATCTAATTAAGGCTTGGTCTTTCTGGCAACTAGTTCCCATCCTTGTGCTATCCAGCTCCCCCAACCCTAGATCACATTAGCAAAAAGATACTTTTATCACTTTGGAGACTCCAAGAGTTATAGGAGCATTGTTCCTGGATGCAGGGACAAAGACCAAACATATTTTTTATTATACCGTTGCCATCCTGATGCATGTGAAGTAGTATCTCTTTGTGGTTTTGATTTTCATTTCTCTAACGATTAGTGGTGGTAAGCATCTTTTTGTGTGCCTATTGGTCATCTGTATATCTTATTTGGAGAAATGTTTATTCAAGTTCTTTGCTCATTTTTTAATTGGGTTATTTTACTGTTGTTGAGTTCTTCCTTATATATATTCAGGATACTAATCTCTTATTACATATATGGTTTCCAAATATTTCTCCCATTCTGTGGGTTGCCTTTTCACTCTCTTAATAGTGTTCTTTTTTTTTTTTTTTAACATTTATTCAGTTTTGAAAGACAGAGAGCGTGAGCAGGTGAGGGGCAGAGAGAGAGAGGGAGACACAGAATCAGAAGCAGGCTCCAGGCTCTGCGCTATATCAGCGCAGAGCCTGATGCAGGACTCGAATTCACAAACCATGAGATCATGACCCAAGCCAAAGTAGGATGCTTAAACGACTGAGCTCCCAGGCACCCCTTGATAGCGTTCTTTGATGGACAAATGTTTTTAATTTGTGAAATGCAATTTCTATATTTTTTCCTTTAGTGTCTGTGCCTTTGGTATCATCCACAGCATCATTGCTGAATCTGACATCATGAAGCTTTCCCCCTATGTTTTCTTCTAAGAGTTTCATAGTTTCAGGTGTTACTGTGACATCTTTGATCCGTTTTGAGCTAATTATTGTCTGTGGTATAGGGAAAGGGCCTAACTTAATTCCTTTGCATTTGTTGAAAAGACTGTCCTTTCCCTAATGAACAGTCTTGGCAAACTTACTGAAAATTACTCGGCTTTATATTGAGGGTTTATTTCTGATCTCTTGGAATAGTGTTGCATTTTATTTTTTAATCCTTTAGATTACCATTCACAAAACAGAAATTATGTGACAAATCTTTTCGTATTAACTGATTTTGCTAAACTGAAGGCAAGAAACTTAATTTCAGGTAATAAACATATAATTCTACACATCTGTCTTCAACGTGTTACTCAGCCAAGCACAGCCGCCACACAACAAAACCCAGAAATATGCAACAGTAACTCAATTCAGTAGTCTGAAATTTTGCTGACTTAATAATTTAAGAAACATAGCTTTACATATTGTGTGTGGAATATTGTCAAGCCCTGGTCTTCCCACTCCCCTTACCATTTATATCAAATGACTCAACACAACACGGTTATACATATCATTAAACAATATTTATAATCAGCATATTCTTTAACCCGATTCTTTAGTTTTTCTAAAAGATAGCAAATCTTCAAAGAAACCGAAGCCGCCACCCCACCACACAGATACGCACACACACACACACACACACACACACACACGCACGATGTAACATCACCGGAGAGTTCTAGAAGAGACTGAAAAGGGTGCCAGTATGCTAGAGGTCTCAATGGGTAAATGGCAGTATCACGCACTTTGAAATCCATACCCAGGGTATTTCCATTGTGCTATTACAGCGACATAAGCACTGTTTCTATTCTGTCAGCATTGTTCGTTTTTTATAGTTTGCATATACGCCACAGGGCCCTTGGCAGCAGCTGGCTACCCAAACGCACTTCGTGGTGGCCAACAACCAGCCGCCTTTACTGCGAAGTCGTCAGCGGAAGCCACGTTGCGACCGGGACCGCGCCCCAGGTGAAAAACCCACAGCGCCCCGGCCCCGCCCTCCACAGCCGCCTGGCCGCGCCCTCCTCCACCGGGAGCTCCCTCGCCTCCCCGGGCCCGCCCCCTCGGCGGAGCGCGCAGGGTCCAGTGCGCCGGCGCAGGCACCACCTCCTCGCTCGGCCCCGCCTCACCGCCGCGACGCTCAAGGAGCCGGGCCCGGGCCGCTTCTCCCGATCCCCCCAGCGCGTTGAGCCTGCGGAAGCATGGAAGGGGAGAGTACGTCGGCGGTGCTCTCCGGCTTTGTGCTCGGCGCGCTCGCTTTCCAGCACCTCAACACCGACTCGGACACGGTGAGCCCGAGGGGCGAGGCGGGCTCCAGCGTCGCCTCGGGAGAGGCCCCGAGCGCGGGCGCCCTTCGCCGCCGTTACCCCGGCCTCCGCCCATGAGCTTCCCGACGGCGCCGCGCTGGTTCTCTGCCCTGGGGCTTTGCCTTGTCCCTCTCCCGCGCGGTCGTAGGTGTGTCTCCCGTCCGGCAAGTCTTCTCCAGGAGTAGCCATTCCTTTTCTAACCAGTGTTTATTTCTTCGCCCGGACCGGAGTGTCCCACACACCCGCGTTTCTTTTCCAGCAGTCCCCCTTTTTTTCTGATTAAACTTAGTTGTGAAAGGATGGAGAGTTCACAGAGCGTTCTCCCACTACGGTAGGAAGGTGTTGCGGGTTAACTTTTCCGTTCCTCCTAACTACCGATAGTGGTTTTCAGAGGCCGCTGAATTTTTCCGTGCAGAGCAGCTGCTGTGCGCGTTTGTTGAAATTGTAGGCTAGTGAAGGAATAGAAGATGCATCCAGTGGCTGTTCTGGGGCAAAGCTTAGTGGATGGGAAAGCCTAATTTGGAGTATGTGATACCTGATTTTTGTTTGCATTGGTGTCAAGTTTATGAAATTGTAAGGCCTCAGCTAGTTCCTTTGTGATGCTTTCAGTTACAATAGAAACATTTACATTTATCCTCGAATTTAGATATTATTATTTCATACTTCTGCCAGGTTCAAAAATCTCTGGATGAAGTAGTGAGGTAGTTTTTTAAATACAGTACACGTTTTGAAAAACTTATGAAATCAGAAAAAGACTATAAAACTTTGAGCCCAAGAAATACTGGCTTAGATTTAAGAGCTTAGTATGCTAGTACAGTTTAGAGAATACCATACTGAACACAGCCTACTGATTTCTGCTAAATATTGTGTATTTCATTTCATGTTGTTTCCAAAATTGTTTTTTTGGCACAATCCTAATAAGGTTGGAGTTGATACCTTTCATGTATACAGTTTTAAAGGGGGGGGGTGTTTATTTTGAGAGAGAGAGCACAAGCAGGGGAGGGGGAAAGAGAAAGACCAAATCCCAAGCAGGCTGGGTGCCATCAGCTCTGGAACTCAGGAACAGTGAGATTGAGTTGGACACTTAACTGACTGTGCCACCCAGGCACCCCTACAATTTTAAATAACTTTGTAGATTAATACCTAGCTAAGAGCAAATATATGGCAATTTATAATGTGTGTGGCTGTGGAAATTATTTTGGAAAGTCTTTGTGTGAATATAAACAAAATGGGTCCTTAAGTCTCTGTAGTTTAAAGGATTAGCCCTTGGGAAATAGCATTGTGTTAGGCCATTACTCTTACGTCTTTTTCCTAACATCTTTAAAAGGTGATTTTCTGGATAGCTGTTCTTGCATTGACACTGCTTCCTTTCCCAGGGTTTGTCTAAAAACCTGGACTATAGAGTTCTGGATTGTTCCCCCTAGATTCCAGTAAAGATTCACATTATTGAAACTTTTTTTTTTGTCATTTTTTTTTTTTAATGGAATGGGAGGGGGCATTCTTACCTAATTATAAAGAAGGTAAAATCTTTGTCCATCAAGCATATTGGGTCTTTAAATGTGCCAAATGAAAATATTGAATTCTCTGAAATTCAAAGACATCACTGCTGTTGTGGCAAAATGCCTGCATTTTAAAAACAATTAGGGCTCCTAGTTCCCCTTTTAGAAATTAGACTTTGATACTGAATTCCAAATCTTTAATATTTTTGTATACCTTTTAGTCTAAAACCACTGATCATTGTGTCATTTCATAGCTCAGAAGCACCCACTGGCTCCCAGAAGCATGTGCCATTAATCCAGAGTCCTTGGCTAGTTATTTGGGATGTTTCATTATTGGCACTATTCCCATCTATCCATAATTTCATTACTCAGAAAGGGGAGCCTTCTGTTCCAAGACAAACTACCCTGCTCTTCCTTCTTCAGACATTATGTACTCATTTCTGGCTTTAAGCCTTTTATGTTCTAGGTGTGCTAAAATCACAGCAGTATTTACAGTCTCTTCTATTCATTTTTATTGAACTGTTCATATTTCCCAACTAAACTGAAAGTGTACCTGGTCCCTCACCAGGGACCCTCACCTGATCTTGGGATATATTGGTTAAGTGATTGAGTAGTAATTCTATCATGGTATTCCATAGATTGCTTTTTACCTTTATAGGAAGGTTTTCTTCTTGGGGAAGTGAAAGGTGAAGCCAAGAATAGTATTACTGATTCCCAAATGGATGATGTTGAAGTTATTTATACAATTGGTGAGTCACTCAGTTTCTTTTTTTTCCTTAAACTTTCTTTATACATTTTAAAAAAATTTTATTTTTACATTTGTTTATTTTTGAGAGACAGAGACAGAGCACAAGTGGGGAAGGGGCAGAGAGAGAATAAGACACAGAATCCAAAGCAGTCTCCAGGCTCTGAGCTCTCAGCACAGAGCCCGATGTGTGGCTCAAACTCAACCCCTAAGATCATGACCTGAGCTGAAGTCGGACGCTTAACTGGCTGAGCCACCCAGGCGCCCCTTAACTTTCTTTATATATTTTGAGAGAGAGTGAGAGCGCAGGGGAGGGGCAGAAAGAGAGAATCCCAAGCAGACTCCACACTGTCAGGATGGAGCCCAATGTGGGGCTCAGTCTCACAAACCGCAAGAGTATGCCCTGAGCAGAAACCAAGAATCAGATGCTCAACCGAGTGAGCCACCTAGGCGCCCCTGTGATCACTTATTCTGTGTCTACTATAGTTGATGGTTTATACTAAATGGGATCAGCATAAATTAGTTTGTAAATTGTTTTAAAAAAATAGATAAAACCTTTTAATGCAGATTTTAAAAGATGCATTGTATTCATTTCTCAATTAAAATCATGGCTCTGGCCTAATGCAAGAGTGTGGAACCTAAGATGCGGTAAGATTACTGTGGGGAAACGCGGCTGAACTAGCTCCTGCATGTATTTAAGTGGTAGGAAGGTGGCCTAACAAAAGGAGAAGGAACCAGTAAGCAAGACCAATAAAAAAGATAAAACAGTTTGGACACAAACACTAAGTGCTACAGAAAAATTGGAAGATGAGAACTGAAAAACTCAGTTTTTTCGACTCCGTTTTAGATCATTGTAAGTAACTTCTGGAGTGTGATGTGGAAAAGACAAGACTGAAGGGTTTGACGAGTGGGTGGTGAAACACCTGCAGCAGACGGCAGCTGTTCTTTCAGGGAAGAAAGGGAAAAGGGAGCTTTAAAATATATGGGGGGTGGGGGGGAGGCTCTGATTACCTAACAGAGTTTTATCTAAGCATATTTCTAAAAACAAAATTGGTAGTATGCTGTATAAAAAATGTGGCATCATGACATCATATTGTGTCATGCCCACTTCCGTATGTTAAACAATCCTCTAAATATCATTTTTTATAACTGCAGTGTATTCTGTTAGCTTTCTTACTCTTAATGGCTCTATGTGATTTCAGCAGTCCTATAATCAGTAGTTTCCAGTTTTTCATTATCATAAATTATATTCTGTGACCATCCTTGTACATAAATATTTTCCTACATTTATTATGGATAGATTCTTGGGGGTGGTATTATAGTGTCAAAGGGTATGAACATTTTTAAGGTTCTTGATCCAGAAATACTGTACCAGTTTATATTCCTACTGTATGTCATTTTTTGTTTGCCACTTTAAAAGGTTAAAAATGGAAGTATATATGTAGATTTATATATGTATATAAATGTAGTGTATATGTGTAAAGTAAATATATTAAGTAAATTTAAATTCACTCTCAATAGAGTCTTCTCTGGTCACCACTGTTTTATGAGTATTTTTTTGCTCATTAATAACACACATGTATATAAATGTGTATTTTTATTTACACGAAAGGGATTATACTATAAATGGGTAAATATCTTCAAGATAAATATCTCCACTGATACTGTTCTGTTACTGTAGAATAGTATCAATATGTATAGTTTGCCATTCTTTCTAATGGCTTTGTATTCCCACTGTATCTACTTACCAGTTAAGAATTCCTGCTGTATCTACTTAAACCAGTTACAAATGACTTTGTTTTTTTGTTAATACAAAACAATATAATAACACTTTGTAGTGCATAATCTCTATGACTTCGAGTCTGTTGGAAAGTCAAATTCCTAGAGGTAGACCATTGCCTTGGGAAAAGTCATGTTCTTAAGACTCTTTCATAATATGTAAAAGTGCCTGGGTCCCCATACTGGTGCCACCACTAGGTATTTTCCAATCTTTTCATCCTTGCCAATTCAATAAATCAAAAGAAATTATATTAATTTGTATTTCTTAGCTTTTGTTTGTTGGAAAGGACAGCACTGTTGCATACTTTGACTATATTTCTACTCTACTGTTTTGCTTTTTCTTAATTGATTTGTAATACCAAATTACAACTTAGGGAAATTGGCCGTTTGTTATGTGTTACAGGTGTTGATACAGTTTGTAGCTTTACTTTGTTAATGTGGTTTTTTTCCTTGTCAGACAGAAGCTTTAAAAACAAGCCTTTGGGGCATTTCCCCCTCCCCCACATTGTAACTGGCATACCACCCAAAGTAAGCAAAAGTATTTTGAGGAGTTTAAGCAACCACTTACTGAGCAACTCCATCGTGCTGGAACAATGCTAAGCATTAAGGTATTAGGCAAATGCTATAGGAACACTTAAGTATTTGCTCAATTTGCTCAACATTTTAAAATGTTGGAATATTAGATGATAAGTAAAATCCAGGATCTACAAATTACTACATTGCTGTGGTTAGTGAGATTTTCATCATTTTTGCATTTTCCCATATCTACACCAGAGTATGTTTGACCAATTATCAGTTACAAAGACTGTTTCTGTTCAGTTGTTGTTGTTTTTCAAACAGGGATTTGTCTGAGGGTAACATACATTTTCTAGAAGAAAAATGTCTCAAGAGGATGATCACTTTTCCTTTTTTAAATAGACCGAATGACTTTTATTAATATACACATAAAGTTATTGAAATGGTGATTTCATGTAGTTTTCTCTTTAAAGATGGCACTTGCAGGTACAAAGATGCAGAGATGCCTACAGCCTTCAGATGTTTACTTGAAGAGATTCAACAGCAGTTTGATAGTGGGTTTCCTCACCTTGCTGAAGATTCACAGATTCTCTGTAATCACATTGATGTCTTTAATTTAAGTAACTAAAAAAAATTCTAGTAATCTGGCTAGGATCTGCCCAGCTAAGAGATATGCAAAGAGGACATGTCACAGGAACTATCTGAAATAAGTGATTGCTATTACAGTAATCCAGTAAATGCTGTCTGGTAAAATTTGATTTTTGACACAAGTTACAATTAAAAGTGGGAAGCCCAGAAGGACTTGTATTCTCTTTTCCTGTAGTTGTTTTTAAAGTATTCTCTGCATCCAGTGTGGGGCTCGAATTCACAGTCCTGAGATCAAGAGTCGCATGCTCTACCAGCTGAGCCAGCCAGGTGCCCCTGGACTTGTGTGCACTGGATAAGTTTCTTTGTTATCAGATGTGGATGTTTCACTCATACTGCTCCTTGAATAATTTTGAGAGATCTGAAAGTTTGGAATAATAGAGGGGACACCATATTCATCTGGATATTTCTTACAAGACTTATAATAATGTCTTATGCAATAGAATTTAATCTGTTTTGCACAGCATCTGTAGCTACCAGAATTCAGATGTATTTTGATGTATTTCTACTGGAAAGAGAATAAAAGTTACTTCCTAAAGGATACTAGCTTTTTTTTTTTTTTTTTTGTAGTTAACATTAACAAATCCTTTATGAAGCAGCTGCTTGGAATAACAAAAGATAATCCCTTTAACAGCTGTTGTTGTCAATTGGGTAGAATTAGAGCATGACCTTTTTAGAACCCAATGGAAATATAGCAACTTTAAATTTATCTCTTGTGTTGCCATTATTAAACCTATTGAGAGGGAGTGTAGTGTTTTAGTTAAGACCGAGGCACGGGCTTTGAATTTTGGCCCCCACTCTCTCTACCTGTTACCACATCTTTAAAATGGAAGGAACGATTGGTCTCATAGCTTTGTGGTAAGGATTAAATGAGATCACGGTAAAGTACTTCCTCCCTCAGTATATGCCGTTCATATATGAAGTGCTTGGTGTATGCTATTCAAATGATAACTTATATAATCATAGCAAAAAATTCCTTTTTTCCAGACATCCAGAAATATATTCCATGCTATCAGCTCTTTAGGTAAGTAGCAAGAGGAAGTAAATGATCTATTGTGAAAATTATTCTGTGTGAATGAAGTAAATTTTAAAACTAACAAGATATCTTAATTGTCAGTTATACATGGTGGTACTGATAAAAATGAAAAGACTTTTTAAAGAAAATTCACTTGTTCATTTCAACCCTGTCTAATAGTTCTTTCTCTGTATTTATATGCTTGCTTTCGCTGGTCTCCACTGCCTCTCCCAGGTACCAGTTTACCTAGAGGGTTTTTCTCACACCCAGTCACCTCATTGCATATTCTAAACTCAGTGACACGTTCTCATATATCAACAGCAGCCCTTTTTTCTACTCTTTCATTCCAGTTTATTTGATCATTTGTGTCCTCACTTACCATATTCTAATGTAATCTTTTGCCTGTTTAGGTTCTTTATCCAGCCTGCTTCCTATTGCCTTTCTATGGTGAAAACTTGTGTTTTTAGTCCTACAGATAGTAATAGCACTGTAGCCCTAATAGGCTATGATATTTCTTAAAACTTTTCATTCAGGTATAACATACATGTAGAAAAATACACACATAAGTTAGATAAATTTTCATAAAGCAAACAACTACAACATGGTGTAGTTTTATGATTTATATCAATTGTACTTGAAAAATCAACATTACTATCTTACAGTCACACTGTATGTACACATAGCTAAGGCTGTATAAGAACTGCAGTGGAGCGTATGGTAAAGGTGAGAAAGATCTGTGGTAGGGGATGATAGAAATAAAGGCTTTTGTGTGGTCTTAAACTGCTCTGCCAGAAAAAGCTAGAGCTTGTATAGTGTTCTACATACAACAGACATACAGAAATATTTGTTGAATGAAGGATCCCTGGATTCTCCACTCCTTTGCCTTTTTCATTGCTTATGGATCTCCTATTTCTACCACTTCAAGTCTGTTAATTTGAGAACTTTATTCTTATTTTTAGAACTTCATATGACCAGCAAGTAGGTATATGGATTTTGGGTGGGTAAGGAGTAACTAAAGTTAAAAATGCTAATAAAATCCATATTTTTAGCCTATTTGAAATGCCTTTAATTTTGGCTTTTACAGCTTTTATAATTCTTCTGGTGAACTAAATGAGCAAGCACTGAAGAAAATATTATCAAGTGTCAAAAAGGTATTCCCTGACTTTTGGGGTTTTTTTGGTATTATATCCTAAAACTGCGTAATACTTTAACGGAAGTTTTTGGCAACATTTGTCTTCACAGTGTTCTATAAAGCAAGTGAACAAAGAAAGGCTTTTTCCTTCCAGAAGTTCAAAGGGATTGCTCTGAGAGCAAAACCAGTCATTAAAAATATTAATCTTGTTCTCATCTTTGGCTATTCTTTTTTTTTTTTAATTAAAAAAAAATTGTTTTAACTTTTATTTATTTTTGAGAGAAACAGAGCATGAGCGGGGGAGGGGCAGAGAAAGAGGGAGACACAGCATCCAAAGCAGGCTCCAGGCTCTGAGCTGTCAGCGCAGAGCCCCTGCGGGGCTTGAACCCACAGACCATTGAGCTCATGACCCGAGCTGAAGTGGGATGCTTAACCGCCTGAGCCACCCAGGCACCCCACTTTCTTGACTATTCTAATTAGCATTGATCTCTTCCTCTTCCACATTCCTACCATACCCCTTCCCATACCATTTATTCCAGGACTTAACTCATTACTGTTCTTTTACATAGCTGCAGTTAAAGCGCTTTGCTATATAGCACCTAACCTTTACTAGTATACTTGGTGTTTAGGTAAGACTTGTTGAATGATCAAAACAGGTTTTTTCCCCCCAGATACAAAATTGGGGGGGGGGGATGGTACTTCTTAAAACTTTTTGGTCTCTGAGTTGAGAATAAAAGTAGATTCAGTAAGTTTCTTTTAAAAAACTTCCTTTGTTGGGGCGCCTGGGTGGCGCAGTCGGTTAAGCGTCCGACTTCAGCCAGGTCACGATCTCGCGGTCCGTGAGTTCGAGCCCCGCGTCGGGCTCTGGGCTGATGGCTCGGAGCCTGGAACCTGTTTCCGATTCTGTGTCTCCCTCTCTCTCTGTCCCTCCCCCGCTCATGCTCTGTCTCTCTCTGTCCCAAAAATAAATAAACGTTGAAAAAAAAATTTAAAAAAAAAAAAAAAACTTCCTTTGTTGAAAATGCTTTGGGCTTGCCCCCTGATTATATTTGGGTATTTAAAAATGTACTTATATTGGGGCGCCTGGGTGGCGCAGTCGGTTAAGCGTCCGACTTCAGCCAGGTCACGATCTCGCGGTCCGTGAGTTCGAGCCCCGCATCGGGCTCTGGGCTGATGGCTCAGAGCCTGGAGCCTGTTTCCGATTCTGTGTCTCCCTCTCTCTCTGCCCCTCGCCCGTTCATGCTCTGTCTCTCTCTGTCCCCCAAAAAATAATAAAACGTTGAAAAAAAAAATTAAAAAAAAAAATAAATAAAAATGTACTTATAAAAATTTTTTAGTTTTAAAAAGAAGAAAACTTTTAATTTCCTTAGTTTAAATGTGCAGATACAAAACTTAGTTGCTGACATTGTCATACACAGACCTTTAAGCAAAGTAGTTGCTCTTTGTTATAATTACTAAACTATAATTACTAAATGAGATTTTATTTTTCCAGTTTTTAAAAAAAAAGTTTAGTAATACTAACAAATTTGTTCAGCAAATGTTACAGTTTGTAAAACCATTTCATATGATCTTACTCAATTTTGAAACCCACTTTCTAAAGGTGGTATCATTCCCATATAAATTTCAGTTAAAAGCTATTGGGTTCAATTTATTGAGCAAACCAAATATCCATATAGGAAGTAAATTTGTTTTCACTGACATTTTCTTCATTTAAATTTTGACTAAAGACTAAGATTTTAAAATAGCAAATGATATCAAGAAACTAAAAGAAGTTAGGAATTTTTTTTCTCTATATGAGTAAAATAGTAGCTCCATAGCTGAATGGAAAATAATTTGACTACACAAGTCAGTTTACATACTTTATAAAAGTAAAGTATATACTTAAGTATGTACTTTGTTTATATATGCCAAAATCTTGCTAAATTTAAGAGTGCCATTTTAAAGGTTGTCAATTTTATTGCTTAATTATGACAGTAAGACACATAATAATTGTAACCACTAAGGTCTACACCTGATATTTTTCTGTATTTTCCCTCAGGCTGTGGTTGGTTGGTACAAATTCCGACGTCATTCAGACCAGATCATGACATTTAGAGAGAGACTGCTTCATAAAAACTTACAGAAGCATCTTTCAAGCCGGGAACTGGTTTTTCTGCTGTTAACACCAAGTATAATAACAGAAAGCTGCTCTACTCATCGGCTGGAGCATGCCTTATATAAACCTCAGAAGGGGTAATGTTGGCCAGTCATTGGCTGTTTTCAGTTAATAGAAAAATATACTCAATGTTTTCATTGTACTTTTTGCAGCCTAACAAATATTTCAAATACTGTTGCATTTGTTACAATACCCCTCTGAAGTTAGTGTACCATATTTTCTTATAGATGGGGAAGATGAAGGTTGCATAAGGAAATTAGAAGCCCAGTATGGAATGATGACTTGTGTTTTTGCCACAGAGGATTTGTTATAAGGTGGAAAAAATATGTGTACTTTGGATATGGTTCCTAAAGGATGTAATATAGAACTAATCCTAGGTACTTGAGCAGCTTTTCTATAACCTCTGCAAAGAAAGAAGCAAGGTTGTTCTTGGTGGTCCACCAAAATGAGTTAACAGAGACTCCCAACAGGTTATGTAAACAACATTCTCATGGGATATGAGGATTAAGTGAAAAGAGTACCAACTAAGATTAATTTTATTATTTTTTTTAAGTGAGCTTGACACCCACCCCCAGTGCATGGATTTGAACTCACCACCCTGAGATCGAGACCTGAGCTGAGATCAAGAGTCAGAGACTTAACCAACTGAGCCACTCAGGTGCCCCTAAGATTAATTTCTTTTAATGTTTACTTATTTTGGGGGGAGAGAGAGAGAGAGAGAGAGAGTATAGGAGGGGCAGAGAGAGAGAGGAACAGAGGATCTGAAGCAGGCTTTGCACTGACAGCAGAGAGCCTGATGTAAGGCTCAAACTCACGAACCGTGAGATTATGAGCTGAGCTGAAATTGGATGTTTAACGAACTGAGCCACCCTGGTGCCAAGATTAATTTTATTATTCATGGAAGACAGGATGAATCTCAACAATACTGCCTATTTTTACATGTTAAAATAGACATTACAGTCTTCTTTTAGGGGCGCCTGGGTGGCTCTGTCGACTGAGTGTCTAACTCTTGGTTTTGGCTCAGGTCATGATCCCGGGGTTGTTGGATTGATCCGTATGTCGGGCTACATGCTAAGCATAGAGCCTGCTTGGGATTCTCTCTCTCTCTTTCTCTCTCTCTCTCTCTCTCTGTCTCTCTCTCTGCTCCTCTCCCCAGTTCATGCTTTCTAAAATAAAAATTTTTTTTAGAAAGGTGTTGTCAATTTCACAAAATTACCTTGCACGATGCACATTTCATCACTTTTAAATACCATTTGCTTCAAGTCAATAAATTTTATCTCAGGTAAGTAGTATGGAATGGGGTTTTTGTTTATTTTTTTATCTTGTAGGGGAAAGGTATTCTATATATAATATGTATAAGTATATATAGGTATATAATAAGGAGAGGTTAATATTTTACTTTATTCTAACTTTATATTTTAAAATTTTATTATTTCAGACTTTTTCACAGGATACCATTAGTGGTGGCCAATCTGGGCATGTCTGAACAACTGGGTTATAAAACTGTATCAGGTTCCTGTGAGTCCACTGGTTTTAGCCGAGCAATAAAAACACACAGGTGAGATTCTTCAGCTGCTTTCCCACTAAATTTCTATTCATTTTTTGAAATTAATTTTTATTATACAAAAAAATAAAAAAGGAAAAGTAATAACCACATATTTCAAATAAACTAGACTATTTTTTACTGTTTCCGTATTTCTTTCTAGCACTTGGTCATTTATAATACACAGAAAAGAGAAGGGTTGTTGTATATCCTGTGTATGTCAACATATATATTCTAAGAGTAAGTAGCTGGCCTGAAAATAATTTTCTAAGGCAGCAATTTAGATCATAAAGGCATAAAATTAGATTGGATATTAAGTAACAACAAAAATACGAGGCTTTAGCCAAGACTCACTCATACTATAGGCTACAGCTATATAGCTAGAACTGTTTTGTGTTCGTTAAGGGAATAGTTAATGTCAGAAATGACAACACTGGTACTACAGGGTACTTACTGGAGAATAAGAGACTAGATTTTATTTATTTTTGTGTTCCACAAGAATTAACAGTTTTAAAGAAACTGAATATATTAATTCTGAGATGCACAGTTTTACATTTATCTCTAATTGGGATAATTTACAAACTATGCCTTACCGGGTTTTTTGTTTGTTTTTGTCTTTTTGGTATATAAAATAATGTTGCCTCTTTTAATCAACGATGACTTAAATTCAGTAAAATATTTTTTTTTCAACGTTTTTTATTTATTTTTGGGACAGAGAGAGACAGAGCATGAACGGGGGAGGGACAGAGAGAGAGGGAGACACAGAATCGGAAACAGGTTCCAGGCTCTGAGCCATCAGCCCAGAGCCCGACGCGGGGCTCGAACTCAGGGACCGCGAGATCGTGACCTGGCTGAAGTCGGACGCTTAACCGACTGTGCCACCCAGGCGCCCCTCAGTAAAATATTTTAAAAATTGAAAACCTTTCTCCCCCTCTCTCCTTCAGTCTTTATTTTTCTTAACATCTTTTGAGTCTTGGCAGTAGTACGTAAGAGGCTTTGAAGTCTGCTAATGTGAAGATACATGAACTAAGTTTTCTGATTGGTTTTGCTGTGAACAAGTAGGTTGACAAAATGTCCCTGCAAAACCAGTAAAAAGAATCTTCTGTTGCTCCTCAACTACAAATAAGTTTTCGTCATAGTATTAAAATGACTTCTATACATTTGCTTGACAAAATGGTAATTTTTACAGCTCTGAATTTTTTAAAGAAGATGGATCTTTAAAGGAGGTACATAAAATAAATGAAATGTATGCTTCTTTACAAGAGGAATTAAAGGTAAGTTCACATATCAAACACTTTTAAAGACTACTTCTAGAGTTCATATCAAATTGATAACAAATCTTTTAGGGATAACTTGACATTTGATTAGATTCGTATTTTTCTAATGGTTTAGTTTCAGTAACAAAGACCTCAATCTCAGTGGCCTACAAAAACAAAGGTTTGGTCTCACTCACATTATATCTTGGCTGCAGCTCTGCTCCTGTTCTGAATGTCATCTTTATTCTAGGATCCACACTGAAGGAGCATTCCTTATATGGGACATGCTCTTCTCATGACAAAGGGAAAAGAGCAAGAGCTGGTGGAAATTCACAACAGCTTTAAAACTTCTGTTCAGGGGCACCTGAGTAGCTCATTCAGTTAAGCGTTCAACTTTGGCTCAGGTCATGATCTCACGGCTCCTGAGTTCGAGTCCCGCATCAGGCTGTGTGCTGACAGCTCAGAGCCTGGAGCCTGCTTTGGATTCTGTCTCCTGTCTCTGTCTTTCTTTGCCCCTCTCCTGCTCATGCTGTGTGTGTCAAATATAAGTAAACATTAAAAAAAAATTTTTTTTAATTAAAAAAACAAAAAAAACCCTTCTGTTCAGAGCTTACATGACACGTCCACTTACATTTCATGGGCCAGATTATATATCCCTATTTCATGGAAGTAGGCAGGGATATATAATCCTTTTACAGGATAAAAAGGGAAGCATGTATTTGAGAACAGAATAATCTACCACAGTACTAAATTCTGTTTCATTGTATCAGTTGAGAAGTAGACTTCAGGATGGGATTAGACATGTAAGAGATGAGGCCTGAGAAGGATAAAAGGGAGAGGAACGAGAACAGGCAGGGAGACTTACAATGCTGAGTCTGACACCTGAGAGAGGAGACAGGATGGGAGGACAACTGGGTAGAGCTTTAGACTACAGGGCTAGAGGGGCGCCTGGGTGGCTTAGTTAAGCGTCCGACTTCAGCTCAGGTCATGATCTCACGGTTTGTGGGTTCAAGCCCCGCATTGGGCTCTGTGCTGACAGCTCAGAGCCTGGAGCCTGTTTCGGATTCTGTGTCTCCCTCTCTCTCTGCCCCTCCCCCACTCACACTCTGTGTCTCTCTCTGTCTCATAAATAAACAAAAAAAAAAAAAGACTACAGGGCTAGAGAGGTGGCTAAGCAAAGTTGTCCTACAGGAATGGATTTGTACTAATACCCACTGTGTTTAGTCATTGGTTAAGAGTGGCTGAGGGGAAGTGTGGCTTCAGTAGCTGACCTGAACGTTTGGTAGCTGGGACTGTCAGTCAACTATGCTTCCTCCAGTGGAGATCTGAGTAGTATATTACGTGGCCACCGTACTTCTCAATATAGCACACTAAGGGAGAGCACCTGGTGGCACAGTTGGTTAAGCATCCAGCTTCAGCTCAGGTCATGATCTCGTGGTTCATGAGTTTGAGTCCCGCATCAGGCTCTGTGCTGATAGTGTGGAGCCTGTTTCAGATCCTCTGTCTCCCTCTTCCTCTGCTACTCCCCCATGTGCTCTCACTCTCTCTCAAAAATAAACATTAAAAAAACATATATATATATATATATATATATATATATATATATATACACACACACACACACACACACACCACGCTAAAAGAAATAGGGTTAATACATTTTATAGTACTAATGCACACTGGTTTTTAATGTGAATGATAATACAGGAATTTTAGAAAACAGACATGTCCAGAATCCCAACTTGTAACATAACTATTTTCACTTTACCATATTTTCTGGTTTTTCCCTAATATATATACATGCTTTTATGTAGTTGATGATGTTGGGGACTGTCATGATTTTTATTTGATGTCACTAAGCATTTTTCATGTTGCTACATAGTCTAGTTCTTTTTAATGGCAGAATATTTCATATAGCAATATATTAGAACTCTTATGTCAAAAGTACTAACTTGGGCTAAAATAGGGGATGTAGAGGTATGTTAGAGGAGCTGTAGGCAGAAAGCAGCTGAACTTCGGGAAGGAATTGGAACCAGGAGCCAAAATGCTATCAGAACTTTCTTCCCTTTGGGTCTGCACATTGGTTTCTTTCATAGTACCAGTAAAACATAGTTACTTGCTATTGTCAGTTTCTTTTTCTTTTTTTAAGATTTTATTTTTAAGCAATCTCTACGCCCAGCATGGGGTTCAAACCCACAACCCCAGAGAAGAGTCACACACTCTACCAACTGAGCCAGCTAGGCACCCCTATTGTCAGTTTCTTAATGTTGTGTTTGGAGTAAATATGCATCTCTCAAAATACTGCAGTATTTTTTGTTTCAAAGTAAATGACTTAAATATTTTTGTTTTTTATTTCTGTGTATTACCATGCAGATAACAGGTGTGATAAAGCTGTGTGTGTATAAATGGGAAGTTCATACATCTGGAAAGCATTTTATAACCTATAAAGCACCATACAAGTGCTTGTTGCATTCCTTCAGAAAAGAGCAAAATAAAAAAAAAAATATTTATAAAGGCTAATAATAATATAAAATCCACAAAGGGCTTTCTGTTATTTATGAACCTAGGCTGTAGTACACCACTTAGAATTTTATCTACGCCCTTATTTTATTTTGCAGAGTATATGCAAAAAAGTAGAACACAGTGAGCGAGCAGTAGAGAAACTACTAAAGGATGTACACAGCTTGAAATGGGAAATTAAAAAAAGAAAACAGGCACAAATTCAAGTAGCACGTAAGTAAAAAGTTCACACATCACTGCCTTCTGTGCTTTTAAAAAAAAAATCCTGACTGAACTATGGATGAGCCCACTAAACTAACTGATGAACTTACGTACTTTAGGATTAAAAATAATTGTTTTATTAATACTCTTAAATCCTACTTAACAAAGAACTCGGTATTATTATAGCTATACTATATTATTGATATTAAAAAATACAACTTAAATTCTCGTTTAGCATATAGTGGCATGTAAATTAGAATATGGGATTATGCACACTATTTTTCTGAGTTTAGAGGATAGAAATATTCAGTTAAGCTCTTTTTGACTTAACAAATAGATCACTACAAAAGCTTTGTAAAACAAATATCGCATGTTGAACTGTTAATTTTATTTTGTTTAGGGGAGACCGTCGAAAAAGACCCTCAGGAGAACATTTTTCTTTGTGAAGCTTTACGGACCTTTTTTCCAGATTGCGAATTTCTTCATTCATGTGTTATCTCTTTGAAAAATAGGCATATTTCTAAAAATAGCTGCACTGCCAACCACCATCTTGATGTGATAGACAACCTGACCTTAATGGTAGAATACACCGACATTCCTGAAGCTAGTCCAGCTAGCAGTACACTGCAAATGATTAAACATAAAGCTTTAGATACTGATGATGGATGGCAATTCAAGAAGTCACGGCTGTTAGAGACACAAAACAAACCATCTAAAACAGATACTGATAGTAGTAATCAAGAAAAAGCATATACATTGAGCAGCCCTGAAACAGATGAAGAGATTGAAAGAATGAAGGGTTCTGGTGGATATCCACAGTCTCCTACATTTTGATCTTTTTAGGCCAAAAGGAGAGCTTTGATTGGCTGAAGGGTAAAGCCAGACATTTATATTGTCTTTACTATGTTCAGCAATTTGCAGTAATACATAAGTTCTAGTGCATTTCTTTTTTAAGGCACTTTATTTTAAAACCATAACGTTTTTCTGCCCCCCACCTTTTGAAAGATTTTATTTTTAACTAATCTCCTACACCCAGCAAGGAGCTTGAACTCACAACCCCAAGATCAGGAGTCACACACTCCACTGACCAAGCCAGCCAGGTGCCCCTTTTACAAAACTGTTGAGGGAAAGGCTTAATTTAAGTAGATGGTTCTTTTAAACTTATATAGCATACTTTAGAATTGGAAAAGAAACACTGGCATTAGAACACGATAGAAGAAGATGTCTAAAAATATGAAGAGGTATTTCATTTTAAGTCATTACAGTTTCTACTCCTTAAGTTATAAGTGGCTAGGGTTGCCAGATAAAATGCTGGAAACATGCAATATTAGGGACATTCATTAAAAAATTATTCATTGGTTATCTGAAATTCAAATTTAATTGCATGTCCTATATTTTTATTTGCTAAATCTGGCAGTTCTGATTATGGCACAACTAAAATACAGCACAAATAATCTCTTCCTAGTCTAGAGTCCTCTACACAAAATTGAGTGAATCCAGTACTTGAGTACAGGACAAGTCTGGTAATGGTGTGTCTGAGGTCAGTAGCTGGTCAAGTAGCTAGAAACACCAGTTAAAGTGGGAACCAAAAATGGTGCATATGTGTATATATATTTATATATACATGTCTATCGCAGATTTCATTTTAACATAAAGTGGAGTTGTACATTCATTTTGTCAACCTTTTGTTGTAGGGCTAGGAACTTTTATGTGAGTATACTGGTGTTCCTATATAAGTCACATCCATTACTTTTATAGTTCCCAGTTTTAGTTTCTTTATAAAGAATTTAAAGAAGCTTGCAAAGCAACCTACGTACAAAACGCTACTACTTTTTTTTTCCATTTCACAGCATCCTCCTTCCACCCTTCTTTAGTTGTCCTAACCACATCTAACTTGACAACTATTTTTTTTTAATGTTTTAATTTATTTTTGAGAGAGAAAGAGTGCGCGCACACGAGCGGAGGAGGGGCAGAGAGAGGAAACACAATCTGAAGCAGGCTCCAGGCTCTGAGTTGTCAGCACAGAGCCTGATGTGGGTCTGGAATTCATGAGCTACGAGATGATGACCTGAGCCGAAGTGGGACACTTAACTGACTGTACCACCCAGGCACCCTGGGTGGTGCAGTCAGTTAGAAAGCATTTACCTAGTTTTCATTGCAGTAACTTTTTAATGCTCCTACTTCAATACAGTGATGAAACTGACACAGACTTGGGAACAAAATAGCTGACTGTTGGCAATGTAGAACTCAACAGGTTTGAAGAATTATGGGCTTCAGTATGATATTTGAGGATGTAAAGCTCCAGTTTAATCCAGTGAGCTGGTTAAATGGAAGTTGCCTAAGAGAGCTTTTACTGTGTGTTTTATTTCTTTTACATAATTGTGAGAATTTTCCACAAGGCTTACACATTATATGAAGCCTTCATGTTTCACTCACTGGATGAAATGCTGAACACAAACTTTGAGCATAGCTTTTCCATCTGCTACTTCCTAGTGGCAGAACAAATTCCTAGCTACTATCAAAATTATCTTTTATCTATGTTCACATGTATTAGTTACCCATGGGGTGCTAATGAAGCCCACATAACAACTGAGATGTTTTGTATAAAGAGTTTCTGTTGGGGCTGTTTAACTGGTTACCTAAGAAGCACTGTGGTGTAACAACAGAGGGCAGAGGGAGGGGAAATAGGTTGGCAGTCTGAAACCTGACTTAAAAATAACCACAAATGGGGCAGGTGGGCAGCTGGGTGGCTCAGTCGGTTGAGTTTCTGACTCTTGATTTTGGCTCAGGTCACGATCCTGGGTTTGTGGGACCAAGCCCCGTGTTGGGCTCTGCACTGAGCGTGGAGACTGCTTAAGATTCTATTTCCCTCTGCCCCTCCCCACCCCACTCACACACACTAAAATTAAAATAACCACAAACATCACTAGAGCATATAGAGCATCACATAGAACATAATGACTAAGTGCAGCCAACAAATGATTTGCTGGAGGTCACTGAGCACACATCACCTAGTTTACCTGTATGCTGGACTGAGACAAAGGTTCCTCGCCCCTTCCCATCCTTGGAATGTACACTTTGCCTACTGTTACCACATTGGGAGTGTTCCAAGGACATGGACTTGAGAAAGCAAGCTGTTAAGACCATATGGATTGTGTGTGACTAAACCCAGTTAAGGCCTCAATAGAAACTTTTAAGACTCTTGACAGGCAGGTGCAGAGATCTGTTTTTCTGAGATCTGTCTTGTGGTCACCCAAGACCAGCTTTGTAAGTAAGTTCTCTTGCTTATTTACGCTGCTACTTACAGTCTGGAGTCATCTGCCTCTTTAGTGGTTTTCTGCCCTCCATGTACCAGTCTACTAATCAACAGATAAAACAAGCTAGACTAGGGGCGCCTGAGTGGCTCAGTTGGTTAAGCGTCCGACTTCAGCCCGGGTCACCATCTCGCGGCCCGTGAGTTCGAGTCTCGTGTCGGGCTCTGGGCTGATGGCTCAGAGCCTGGAGCCTGCTTCCGATTCTGTGTCCCCCTCTCTCTCTCTGCCCCTCCCCCGTTCATGCTCGGTCTCAAAAATAAACATTAAAAAAAAATTTTTTTTTTTAAATAAAAAAAAAAAGCTAGACTAGGACCAGCAGAAGCAATAAGCAACCAACATATGCAAGTGTCTTAAGACAGGAACTAAAGATTTTTCAGACTCCTTAAAAGAAACAGGCCTTCATACAAAGTTCAGTTTGCTAAAGCACTATAGAGAGGTAATGTATTTAGTTCATACTTCGGCACAGTGATCCATCTTGAAGAAAGAAATGCTAACCTTCCAGTCATAGAGAAGCATGCTAAGGTCAGTACCAGCTGAATTTCCATAATTAAGTTTGATGACCCACCTTTTGGTATTAAATGAAAAGGAAAAGGTTCTTCTATATCATTTTCCCCCAGTTACTCATCTTTTGGCAATTAGTTACTAGACCATTTGTTTATGGATCGTTTTAAATTATGCTACTGGGACACCTGGGTGGCTCAGTTGGTTAAGTGTCCGACTTTGGCCCAGGTCATGATCTCACCATCCATGAGTTTGGGTCTCATGTCGGGCTCTGTGCTAACAACCCTGAGCCTGGAGCCTGCTTTGGATTCAGTGTCTTCTTCTCTCTGCCCCTCCCCCATCCATGCTCTGTCTCTATCTCTCAAAAGTAAGTAAATGTTTAAAAAAAAAAAAAGTACACTACCAGTTTCAAGATAGACTAGCCCAGGAATAAATGTTCGGGCCTTTGCACCACTATCCATACCCGCGTTAACTAATGTCTCTATAAAGGGAACACCCACTGTCCTGGCCAGGCATACTGAAATATTGGTAGTTAGAAAATCTAAGCAATTTCAAGTCTACACTCTGTCACATGGAATTTGGGCATTAATAAAAGCATTCTACCTTGATGCAACCATATGCCTAAAATCCCATTTACAAGACAAAATCTGGGACTCAAGTAAAATTCCAAGTCCTCTATTCCATACTTAAAATCCCAATATGAGTTGTATATGGTATGAGCTAAGTGGGGACCAGATAAAATGACAATCCTACAGTACCAATTTTTAAAGTTTGTATGTATGTAAAATGTGATGAGTATTAACATTTTAAATAATGTTTCTTTAATGAGCAGTGGAAGCACTTTTTCCTTGTAAGATCTCAATTATTAAGAATTTAAAACTTACAAGCATTTGGCAAGATTTAGCCTATTTTCTACTCAAAGATTATTAAATCTTCTAATTTGAGTCAATATTAAAACCATACAACCATTTATTGTAAAATACATTTACTGATGATAAGACATGTAATTTACTCCCGATACTTGATGTTACAAACTTTAGGGTCTTTGAGATATGCAGGATCCTTGTATGTAACTGGCATAAACCCTGTAAAAAAGAATGAAAGTTCTTCACAAAAGATAACGAGCAAAAACTTTCGATTAGCCCAATTCAGTTTTTCAGATGCTCTTACCCATTATTTGAGCTCTCTTAATTGCTTTTGTGATTTCTTTCTGTTTCTTCCCACAAAGACCTATGAAAGAAATGCTTTCATATTCATAAAAAAATGTCAGCACTCAAAATGCACAACTATCTTAAGGAAAGGCTAGAAAACCTGTAAACAGCAAGGTAGTAAATATTTTAGGTTCTGTGGGCCATACGGTGTCCTAATTTAGTCTGATGTAGCTCACAAAGTGGCTATAGACACTACGTAAAGTAAGCTATTTACAAAAACAAGTGGTAGATCCAACTTGGCCTAGAGGCAATTGGCCCCAGGTTTAAATAAATAGGAATGATTATAGTATACTCCAAAACATCAATGCAATCTTCTTAAGCCCTCATTTTTTTTTTTTTTTACATGTCCACCTGTAGTTAGCTCCGAGCATAAGAAGACATGTAAAATAATAGCCCTTTTGGCCTACAAAGAGGCCTTCTCAAAGTACTGTCATATCTGGTCTAATAGTGATTTATAGCACAATCTGAATATCTGCCATTTTTCTTAAATAACAAGTAGATTTATCTAATTTTTATAAGTTGCTATAATAGAAAACAAAATACCTGTTATGTGCCTTCCATAAATGCATCCAGTAAATGGAGATATAAACTGGGACAAAAGCTGTTTTGAGTTTTATTTGGAGAAGAAAAAAAATTTATATCAATACATTTGTTCAACCTTGATTGTGTAAATTAAAAAATGTATATATCACTGTCAAGTTATGTAAAGGCTTAATTTCAGGCAAAATTCATTAAATAAAAATACTATGTCCATTCTATTAATAGATCTTTTTAAATGAAAAAGCTAATTACCAAAGTTAACATCTCTTATCCAGTGTGTCAAACAAAGTCTATACAACAGCTTAATGAGCACTTGTTTTCAGTGCTAAAGCTGTTTCCTTGACCTCCACAGATACTTTCCTAAAATACTATGCTTAGCATTAAACATTTCATCTATCACGACAGGCTATCACATTATTCTATCAGACTACAGTGAGGTCTTCAAAAGGTACATCAAGCCACTTGCCATAATTTTGTGTTTTATTTAAATTCTTTAGTACTTTTCAGGTAGCAGGCACTGTGCTGGCACTATGCATAATCCTCCTGACGTGCTTTAAATTTAATGGTTTTGCTCCTAAGGCAGCTATCACTTTATGCTACTGTCAGGATACTTAACTCCGGAACCACTCTTGCCCCTGATTTGCCACTTTTAATTTGCTGAGCCCTGGACAACAAATAAAAATACCTTTGAAGCAGTGAGATTGGTAGTGTATCAGTACAGAGATCAACTTCAGCAGAGGGGCTTTTTCCAAATTGTTAACTCTACCAACTAAGAATCCCTGCATAGTGAGCTACTGGTAAGACCTTTAAGGCAGAGGGGGAAAAAAAAGGAAGAAAACACTGAGCTGAAATAATAGATGAGGGAGAGCCAAAGGGCTCTCATTTTAATAAAAGGGATGCCTTGTACATAGAAAACCAGATTTGAAATTATGAAGTTACTACAACAGGTGCCTCTACACAAAGCCTGTTATAAAACTGACTTGATTCTCTTTAGTTATGACTAACAAGGGAGCAAAAATCCTAAAATCCAGTATCATAGTGAAGTAAAACCATATCTCACCTGTACATTCTTATAATCTACACGTTTTCCACACAAAATACATTTTTTAAGAGGCTCCTTATAAGGATTTTCCATTGGAATGGGCTAAGATAAAGGAAAGAAAAAAATCTAATAGTTTAATGTGTTAATATTAAAATAGAATTAAATCTTAAGGTTACCACATTTGAATCTATCCAAAGGATTAGTTGTACCTTTCTTAATATGAAAAAGAATAAATGACAGCTTGGCTTGTAGAAGAAAAATCAAGGTTTCTAAAAAAGTCACCATTTTAAGGATTTCAGTGTGTTTATAAATGTTTTGTACGCGTACTTTGGTTTGGCTGAGGAGGAATTAAATCATGGAGGAGGATTCTGGGATAGAATACAATCTCTGTTTATGGGAGGATACCTTTCATGGCCCCAAACTGCTTTATATCTCAACCTTTTTGGTTTTTCTGTCCTCACTACTACCTCTAATGCTTCTGTCACAATGCCTCCAATCTATAATCAGTACAGGCATGTCTCCAATCAAGATATTCTTATCTAGAAATGGCTTTGAAGACCTTAACCCCCTGTAGTTGCATGCAAAATTTCAAGTGAATGAAATTGTGAGCTTTTTTCTGAGAGCCCATATTTTATTAGCATCTCGGGAATTTATGACCTATAAAACAGCTCTAGTAATGTCCTTTACTCTCTTGAACTGTGGTGTGCATTAAATGACCAAGAAGGATGCTCAAGGGACTAGAATTCTGTTTTCCAACCCTTCAGACTCTTAATCCAATTTATATGCAGCTCACATGTAATGATTACATTCCTTCTCTACACTGTGTTAAAATGTTTTGTATGGGGGGCGCCTGGGTGGCGCAGTCGGTTAAGCGTCCGACTTCAGCCAGGTCACGATCTCGCGGTCCGTGAGTTCGAGCCCCGCGTCGGGCTCTGGGCTGATTGATGGCTCAGAGCCTGGAGCCTGTTTCCGATTCTGTGTCTCCCTCTCTCTCTGCCCCTCCCCCGTTCATGCTCTGTCTCTCTCTGTCCCAAAAATAAATAAACGTTGAAAAAAAAATAAATAAAAAATAAAATGTTTTGTATGGTTTGATTAGTGTCAAATCATCTTTGCATATAGCAGGAAAAGCTATACTGGCCAAGCCCAAAGCTAGCACTTGAAACCCATAAAAATACATCTACAGGCTAAAAGAAACTGTATTGAACATCCTGGTTGTAAAACTTTAATTTTGATCACTTACTCACTAAAACACCAAACCCACTCCCCCCCAAACTCCCCCAGTAATGAATGGCACAAAGAACTGAATCTGAAATGGGGAAGAGACTTTGTCCAATTCCTCTGTTGGATATTCTGCAATTGTTGCACACACCAAAACTACCTTCTTTAATTTCTAAAGCACATATCTTTAAATTTAAGATCTAGGGGTGCCTGGGTGGCGCAGTCGGTTAAGCGTCCGACTTCAGCCAGGTCACGATCTCGCGGTCCATGAGTTCGAGCCCCGCGTCAGGCTCTGGGCTGATGGCTCGGAGCCTGGAGCCTGTTTCCGATTCTGTGTCTCCCTCTCTCTGCCCCTCCCCCGTTCATGCTCTGTCTCTCTCTTTCCCAAAAATAAATAAAAAACGTTGAAAAAAAATTAAAAAATAAATAATAATAAATTTAAGATCTAAGAAGAAAAGTATGGTCTTACACAATTGATGCTTCTTGGTAGATCTTTAGAAATTCTCTTACTTCAAAGCTCTCTTAAATGCTGATTAACCAATGAATTATAATTTTCAAATTTTGATTATTTTCTTAATTGTTTTGTCGTCCAGCTGAACTTTATTCAAATAGCTAAAATGTAAGAATTTGCTCATATTTGCAAATGCCTTAAAGGGAAGAAAAAAAGCCTTACCAGGTCCTCATTGCTGGCTACCTGCGTGTATTGTGAACAGCTTCTCCACAGCACTGCAATTAAACAAACAGAAACAAACCAATTCTTTTTGTTAGCTCTGTAACTAAAGAAATATTTTTGTTTTTATGGAAGCAAGGTGAACCAAGGGATACAATATAAAAGAAAGGTTTGGGGGCACCTGGATGGCTCAATCTGTTAATCCGATTTCAGCTCAGGTCATGATCTCCCAGTTCATGGGTTTGAGCCCCAGGCTGGGCTCTGTGCTGACAGCTCAGAGCCTGGAGATTTCTGATTCTGTGTCTCCCTCTCTCTCTGCCCCTCCCCCACTCACACTCTTTCTCTCTTTCTAAAATAAACATTTAAAATTTTTATTGAACAAAGAGGTTTTGGGGCGCCTGGGTGGCTCAGTTGAGCGTCGGACTTCGGCTCAGGTCAGGATCTCGCAGTCGGACTTGGGCTCAGGTCAGGACCTCGCAGTTGGTGAGGAGCCCCCGTGTGGCGTTCTGTGCTGACAGCTCAGAGCCTGTAGCCTGGTTCAGATTCTGTCTCCCTCTCTCTGCCCTTTCCCCACTCATGCTCTCTGTCTCTCAAAAATGAATAAACGTTAAAAAAGATTTTTTTAAAGAGGTTTTATATTTACAAACAACGACAGAATAAAAACCTTTAGAAGTGAGGCAGAGTAAGATTTATGATGAATGTGCTTTCCAAGGCTTTGGGGAAAAGGCATATATTTCCCTACCCCTACAACCTCTCACCTGCTCTCTTCCTGAAGTTTATTTTCCCTTCACTCAACGGTTAGAGGCAGATTTCGATGGAAATGCCGGGAAAGCAACAGAAAGGCATTGTTATAGCATAGGGAAAATGTAGTAACAGACCCCCTAAAGAAAGTATTGACAGAAAAGATAACGTGCAGAAACGATAGATTCGAGAGCCCATGTCACAATTTCGCCCTGATCGGGAACGTTAGACATCCCCTATAATCTGCTGCTGGGTGATTCTGGAAATGTACTTTCCTTACCAACTCTACCCAGAGCTCTCAAGCAAGTACTCTGAGAATCAGGAGATCACTCTCTTCGTGTGGTTAAAAAAGTGTACTCGACGACAATCACGCACCCTTCTGCCTTAAAACACTAGTCACGGGCCATTACAGATTCCCACGTATCCTGGATAAGCTCTTAATCGCCTAGAAACCGGCGTCGTTTGGCTAACAGTGACCACTCCACCAACCTAATTAGGGCCAATGCAACGGCTGCAATGCCACAAAAGAGCATAGGTTATGGAAACTTTACCCGCGTGAGTCTTAGGATCTCTGAGGCAGAGAGCTGGCTTTATGAAGTACGCCAACTTTTTCCTCCCTAGATCACTGCAAACAGCAACCAGCGCCGCCATGGATCCTCGCTCCTCCTCTTCCTTATCCTCTTTCCAAATAGTCCTGACGAGTCGCCTCCGGGGTTCCTCCCTTGGTGGCCCGAAAACTCGATTCAAAGGTTCCGCTGGCGAACCGAAGTCGGTAAGGTTTTCAATGCGGCTGCGCAGCACCTTTTCGTTCAACCCTTCACAGGCACAAGCCTGGGACATCTATGATTGGACAAGGAGAAGGCGGGCCCCTCTGCTCGGGCCTCCGCTTCCGGTTTGAGTGCCCCCCCTCCCCCCCGCCTCCCGGCAATTGATTTGCGATATTACCCTAAGGTGGATGGACAGGCGAGCGCGGTTTCCCGTCAGTTGCTACCCTCGCTCAGTGCTCCACTCCCTCTTCCACGGGGGTTTGGCAGCTGGGTCACGCGGGACGAAGTTCGGGCAGGGTCCTCGGCCCCTGCCATGAATGAAGGTGGTTCCCGCATCCGCCGGCGGGTTGCTGTCCGCAAAAGGAACCGGCCTAGCTTAGAGAGCATTTTTGCCTCCCCCACCGCCGCCGATCTCCAGCCAGGCGATGAGGAGGAGGAGGACGAGGAGGAGATGATGGCTGGAAGTCGGCGGAAGAAAACCGCGGAGGTGCAGCCCGTCGAGGTACAACCGCCTCAGCTCTCAAATTCCCCAAGGTCCTGGTCTCATTGTCCACTTTTGGAGCGATGATGTAAACCCAGGTCTCCTAGCGTGCATGCCCACTGAAAGAACCCTGGGAGACCAGCTGTAGAAGTGATGGAATTTGAAACTTCAAAATTTCGGCAGTTCCCTTCTTAGATGCAAACAATTGACCAATTAGCTACTAGCTTTCATTTGCTTACTTCGTCTTTGTTATCGCTGTTAGTCCTCACTTGTGAGGTATTATTGCTTTGCTATCCTCATTTTTTTATAGGTATGAAAGTCATACTTGCAGCAAATAAGTGGCATGACTGAGATGCAAATCTAGATTTCCAGGTTACTGCTGTTCCTACTGTGCTAATAGAATCTACCATTTATTGCACACTCATTATGTGCGGGGTATTTTGTTAAGCTTAAGCTATTTGCATTATCTTGATTTTACAACATTAATCAGGCCCTGAGAAGTTAAGAAACACTTATTTTTTCTTAATGTTTATTTATTTATTTATTTATTTTGAGAGAACATGAGCAGGGGAGGGGCAGAGAGAGAGTGGGACACAGGATCTGAAGTGAGTTCTTTGCTGACAGCAGGGAGCCTGATGCGGGGGATTGGGGAGTCAAACCCACAAACCTCTGAGCTGAGCGGAAGTCAGACACTCAACTGACTGAGCCAGTCAGGCGCCCAAGAAACTGGGTTTCTGACTTCAGGTCTTGCTTTTTTTTTTTTTTTTTTTGACATTTATTCATTTTTGAAAGACAGAGAGTGAGTGGGGGAGGGGCAGAGAGAGAGAGAGAGAGAGAGAGAGAGAGAGAGAGACAGAAGGCTCCAGCTCTGGGCTGTCAGCACAGAGCTCCACACGGGGCTCGAACTCACTGACGATGAGATCATGACCTGAGCTAAAGTCGGTAGCTTAACCGACTGAGCCACCCAGGTGCCCCTTCTGATCTTGCTTTCTTAATCACTTCACTGTACTGCTACCTCTAAATTTACATCTCCTCTGTTTAGTAGATCATCCCAAGTCCGTATGCAGACCCTCCCTTTCAATTCCAAATTCCTAGGAACAGAATTTGCTTGGAATGTCCAGTGGAACAAGCATGGTTCTGTTACAAGCTGGTCTTAGATTGGAGTATGGGAGGGGAAAAGATAGTGCAGTTACCAGAAACTTCTAGTGAGATGACATTTCAAGGGATGTCGGTTGGTCTTGCTACCTTTTTAGGATTACCTTTAAGGATTTGGCACTGACTAAATGAGGATCCCTGTATCACCATACACTAGGAGTGCAGTTTAGGCAAATCACTTACACACTCTGGGCTTCCATTTCATCATCTGTAAAATGGAGACGATAATATCCATTTCATAGGGTGATTTACATTAAGGTCTATGATCCATATAATTATACCTTGGTATAGCCTGAGACTGAAACTTTTATTTATAGTGAAGCTAGAATTGACCATAAATCTTTTCATTTTCTTTCCAGAATAATGACAGTGAAGAGGACATGTTTGGTGACTATGATAGCTTTGCTGAAAACTCTTTTTTAGCTCACGTTGATGACCTGGAACAATATATGCAGCTTCCTGAACATAGGAGACATGCCTCAGACCTTGCCACTGACGATCTTTGTTCGGAAAGCGACAAACACAACAAACTCAGCGTTACTACCATAGACAACTTTACTGAATTAAAAATGGATGAGCACACAAAGAACCAGAGTAGGCAGGAAGATGTCTGTATTGAACCTGAACCTGATCTTTTGTATGATATACCTTCCTCCCAGGTTTTATACTTTGAAAATTCTTCAAATGATTTGGGCGATCAGTCTACCAAAGAGAGGGATTGCAATTCCTCCTCCCACAAGACTGTGAATGAGGAATTAGCCCAGAATAGCATAGAACAACACCAGCAAACTGATGATCCCTCTTCTAAAGTCAGAACTAGCTCAGAGGAGAATAGAAGAAAAAGTCTTAAAGAACATCTAAAAAGTGCCATGACTGGAAATGCCAAGGCCCAAACACCAATATTTTCTAAGACTAAACAACTCAAAGAGACTCTCCTATCTGAGGAGATTAATGTTGCCAAGAAAACAATTGAATCATCATCAGATGACCTTGGTCCTTTTTATTCATTACCCAGCAAAGTGAGAGACCTTTATGTTCAGTTCAAGGGAATTGGAAAATTATATGGTAATGCTTTTTGCTGAAATGAAAAAACATTTACCATAGTTACCAGAATACTTGTGCAAATCAGTAGAAAGCAGATGCTCCCGTGGTCACATATCTCATCTTAAGGTGAATCCAAATATCAGTTCTCTCAAGCCTTCCATTCCTATCCTGCTGCTACTGAACCTCTTCCCTTCATGGTCACACTTCTCAAATCTGTTATCTTTGCTGTCTTCCTTTCCTCACCTCACAATTCTCAGCCCACTCCAACTCTGGGTTCTGTGCTCTCACTTGAGATATGACTAGGGTGTCTAAATCCAATACTTTTAGTTCTTTCTGACTTCTTAGTAGCTTACCAGGCACAATTAACCAGACCCTTGAAACACGGACTTCTTGACTTCTTGACATTCCACTCCTGTTTTTATCTCTGATCGTCTAGTTGCTTCTCAGTTTTCTTAGCTGGTGTTTCCTTGGCTGGCTCTGTCTTCTCTACCAAAACTTGAAATTCCTTTTACTACTCATGTCTTGAGTGACAGCATCAATATTAGTAATACCACTGATTAAAACGAAACATCCCTGAAGACAGCTGAAGTTGAGTTAAGTGCAAAGAGATAGTATTAATAACAATAAATGTTGTAGTCTTTTTCAAAAATCCTGGGTCTTTGCATATATTTCAGATATGTGCCACTTTAGACAAAGAAGGGACGGTTGCTGCCATCCTCAAAAGATGAGCCTATCAACCAATCACTTCATAAGTGTTTCTGAAATTCCTGTGTTAGTACCTTACGAACCATATGAAAACACGGTTCTCATCTCAGGGAGAAGACAACCAGGTGGAGAAAGGACACAAAGTCTAATGTAAGACTAAAAGGGTCTAATAAATTCTAAATTGTGAGGTTTGCAGTTAAAGAGCTAAAGGTGTGTATTGCCCTTGAAGCAGGCGTTCACTTTCTTCCCTCTGCTTTTCTCCTACCTCCTTGTTCTTTGTTTAATCCGCATCTTCTGCCAGAGCGAGTTCTCTGAGGACAGGGCTATCTCTGACTCCTCTTTTTCTTAATTAACTACCGCTGTGCCTGGTAGGCTCCGGTTGGTTCTCAACTGCTGGGGCTCGTCAGCCTAGTTGTGAATTCTGATCCTGTCACTTAAACACAAGTTTTGCACTCTGAGCCTTAGTTCCTGGTCTATTAAAAAGTAAGTAACAATCGTGGTTGTTTTGCAAGCTATGTTCTGCGTCAAGGACATGCGAAATGAGACTTGGGTAATGACTGTCAATCGTTATGTTGGTAGCTTCTGAGTAAGAACTTGAGTAAATAACAAGTTTTTAAAGCTCTCTTTGCTTATCAATCTGGTTCGATGACATGACCAATTTAAAGCATAAATAAGTGTGTCACTTCTCATTGGGCTAAAGTAGTGGTTTTGAAAGTGTAATTGTTGGACAGCAGCAGCAGCAGCACCTGGAAACTCATTGAAATAAGTATTCTCAAGCTCCACTCTAGACCTACTGAATCAACCTCTGGGGGTGTGACCTGGCAATTGGCTTTAACAAGCCCTCCAGTGGATCCTGGTGTGCCAAAAGTTAGAACCACTGAGCTTGAGAACCTCAACCTTACACTGTTATTATTTTTTTGCCTTTTTATCATAGAATTGCATGCTTAATGGGTTTTCCATAAATGTTGAGAACTAAGTTAATCATTTTTTAATGGGTGAAGATAAGTGATATTGCTAAGTATTTGTTATTTTGGTCATTTTATACTTTAAAAAAATCTGAGTTGGATGAAAAGCGGATGTGGTCAAGTTGTATTTTTGCACAGATACCTACAGTTTCATATATAATGGGTAATACCAGCCTGAAATATTTTTAATATGTAAGTATTAAATATTAAACATAAGTATTTAAGTATTTTTGAAATATTTTTATTCTTAAATGTTTATTTATTTATTTTGATGGGGAGAAGGGAGGGAGGAAGGGGAGAAGGGAGGGATAGACAGGAAAAGGGAGACAGAATCCCAAGCAGGCTCCATGCTGTTGGCACAGACATGGGGCTTGAACTCATGAACCGTGAGATCATGACCTGACCCAAAATCAAGAGTCAGACACTTAACTGACTGAGCCACCCACGTCCCCCTTTTGAAATATTTGTAAAGTGAAAAGAAGTCATTTGCAAGCATTTGGGAATCACCAAAATGTAAGAAATTAGTCATTTGGCTGTTATTCAGATGTAACTTTTTAAAGCTTTGCAATATATCCTATTAGTAGTCACCTTTTTTTATTTAACTTTTTTTGGAAAATGTAATACATTCAAGTACAACTTTTCTATGTATATATTATTTTCTAATAATCTGTACATAATTGGTTAGTTACAGTCTAACACACATTTATAATCTTTCATTATATATTGAGCATGTATAAATCAGTCTACCACCTGCTTTCAGGCTGTAAAGAATATCATATGATTGCAATAATTTATCCAACCTTTACCCTTTGATGGCTCTTTGTTTTATATAAATAATGCTATGATGAACATCTTGCACATAATCTTGTTTTTATTTCTATAGGTGTAGAGACCTAGAAGCAATACTACTAGGCCAAAGACAGTGTGTAGGGTTGTTGTCGTTGTTGTTTTTTAATTTATTTATTTATTTTGGAGAGGGGAGGGACAGAGAGAGGGAGAGAGAGTATCCCAAGAAGGCTCTATACTATCAGCACAGAGCCTGATGCAGGGCTTGATCCTACGAACCGTGAGATCATGACCTGAGCCAAAATCAAGAGTTGGACACTTGACTGAGTCCCCCAGGCACCCCTAAAAAGATTATAGTATTTTATGCTCTCATCAGCCACACATAAGAATGTCTCCTTGTCCCCAGTCAGCTCCAGAATTTCTATATGTGGGGCTATTTATTTTTAGTAGTTACCTGTATTTTATTTTGCCAACCGAGTAGGTAACAGTTGAGCATCTTTTCACGTATATATTAGCCATTCATATTTCTTCCTGCTGTGAAATGTCTTATCATATCCTTTGCCCATTTTCCTAGTGATAAAGTACTGATGCACATTTTGAAGACTTTTGATGGTCCACATTGTCAGATTATCCTTGAGAGTAGTTACTCTAGTTTTCAAAACTCTAGTTTTGTTTTGGATCTGATTTGGTCCTTTTAGTGAATTCTACCTTGCTACATTGTGGAATTCCTAGATGTGCCGGTTAAGAATCCTAGTCCTGTGGTTTCAATATTCTTACAGCTCAAAATGGTATTCAGGCCAGAGTTCAGCTCCCCATAATAGCCGGTTGAATAGTCTTTCTAACCATGTATAAAACCTCATGGGTTTTTTTTCCCCCTCCGTCCCCTGTTTCTCTCTAGGATGTTGTGTGGGTAGATGAGCAATCTCCTTGCAGAGCATAAGAGCAAAGCATTAGAATTCACACAGATCTTTGTACTGTCCTTTAGCTCTTCTGATGGCTCAGGTGATACCCGAGATCACTACCTGCTCTGTTAGAATCTTACACCTAAGTGTGCAGCTGGCGAATAGGTGGCCTAGTCACCCACTTCTTTGCCCAGGCCTGAATTAGAATTAGACTCTCACTGGCTTGCCCATCGAGGATTAGGGATGTTTGACATTTAACAAGTATGTATGATTATACTTATTATTATGAGGAGATTGATACACAGAATGGAATTTGGTTTTTCCTTCTTAGAAAACTTTCTTAAGACTGAATTGTAGAAGGGGAAAGGAATGCTTTCTTTTTTTTTTTAATTCTGTAGAATGGCAACATACTTGCTTAACACTGAATTCTGTGCAAGAAAGAAAAAACTTAATATATTCCTTGCCAACGAGTGGTGGAAAAACCCTTGTGGCTGAGATTTTAATGCTGCAAGAACTGCTTTGCCGGCGGAGAGATGTTCTAATGATCCTACCATATGTGGCAATTGTCCAAGAAAAGGTGCGATTTTTTTTTTTAACAAGCAGTATTTGTTAACATTTTCATACTAAGATAGAAAAGGTACCATAAATGTAACAACTATTTTTTTTAAAGTGTATTTATTTATTTTTGAGAGAGAGAGGGAGAGGGAGAACAGACAGGTGAGGGGCAGAGAGAGAGAGAAAGAGGGAGACACAGAATCCTAAGCAGGCTCCAGGCTCCAGGCTCCAAGCTGTCAGCACAGAGCTCAATGCAGGGCTTGAACTCACAAACCATGAGATCATGGCCTGAGCTGAAGTTGGACACTTAACCAACTGAGCCACCCAGGCATTCCTGTAACAACTTTTTATTGACTAAGAAGAGGTACTTCTATTAATGATGGAGAATTAATATTTTGGGGATGTGCAAAGCAGTATGTAGAACCTACCAAAAGTCTTTTCTAATACTAATTGCCTCTTAAAAGAAGAATTTTATTTTTTTTCTAAACTGGTGGATTAAATTCCATTTTAAAAATTCCGTTGAGGGGCTCCTGGGTGGCTCAGTCGGTTAAGCAAATGACTTCAGCTCAGGTCATGATCTCACAGTTTGTGGGTTCGAGCCCCACATCGGGCTCAGTACTGACAGCTCAGAACCTGGAGCCTGCTTTGGATTCTGTGTCTCCCTCTCTCTCTGCCCCTCCCCATCTTGTGCTCTGTCTCTCAAAAATAAATAAATATTAAAAAAAAATGTTTTTTACGTTCTATTGCTGTTTAGCCTGCCTCTTCAAGCAGAAAGTAATCGATTATTTTATCAAAATAAGTGAGTTATGCTGATTTTTTTTACATCAAGAGGAAACATTTGAAATTTATTTTCACATTGATTATGTAATGTAAAAGTTGCATTCATTTTGCAAAGAGCCACACGTGAATTATGACATTTCTTAGATATATGTGTCTTGTCTGTGACTTTGTTCTCATTCATTGGTATTATGTACTATTTTAGATTTAAAAAAAATAGACATGAGCTCTTAATAATTGAGTTAATTATCTAATTTTTTGCTTATTTTAACTGATATTCTAGATTTCAGGTTTGTCAAGTTTTGGTATAGAACTGGGTTTCTTTGTTGAAGAATATGCTGGAAGCAAAGGAAAGTTTCCCCCAATTAAAAGAAGGGAAAAAAAATCTCTCTATATTGCCACTATTGAAAAAGGACATAGTCTGGTGAACTCCTTGATTGAAACCGGAAGGATTGGCAGTCTGGGTCTGGTTGTTGTAGATGAGGTTAGTAACTGCTTTTATAGTTTATCATTTTATGAATAATTGTTGAATAATTATATTTTATTACTAATTAATTAATATCAACATGTATTATTATGTGGGTCCACTTAGTACCTCTATGAGGATAAGTAATTTATTTTAATATGTAGACAATACAGATGAATACATTTCATGCTTAGTAATCTTAAATTCGGTTTTATGTTGTGTTTTTTGAAGAGTGAATATATGTGTATGTGTATATTCAATTTTATAATGATGCTTATCAATTTCCAGGTGTGTCAGGATGTTGCCCCCAAGCCTCATTAACATAAAATATCAGTGGTACAATGCATGTGTACTCTAATTGCTATATCCAAAATGCTTAAGAATTCTAAAGCAAAGATTACTTGATTTCATATAAATACATGCGTGTTCTATGTAGGCATATGCAAATTTACTTTTCTCCCATTTTTTTTTAAATCTCAAAGTTACACATGATTGGTGAAGGAAGCCGTGGGGCTATACTGGAAATGACCCTAGCAAAAGTCCTCTACACTAGCAGTAAGTATCTTTTCAAATAGAATCGATTTATACTCAGGAAGCCTGTGAAAGACTTGTGTCATTAGTTAGATTATGTAACAGAATAAGATACTCAAGCATTCTGCATTAGCTTTTGACTTCTTTCCTTTTTTTTTAAGTTTTTCATTCTGCATTAGTTTTACTTCTTTCTTTTTTCTAAATCTACTTATTTTGAGAGAAAGAAAGAGAGAATGAGAATGAGTGGGGGAGGGGCAGAGAGACAGGGAGAGAGAGAATCCCAAGCAGGCTTCGCTCTGTCAGCAGGCCCAACGCAGGCCCGAACCCACGAACCGTGATATCATGACCTGAGTCGAAATCAAGAGTCAGATGCACAACCAACTAAGCCACCCAGGCGCCCCTTAGATTTTTTTACTTCTAAAGTAAACTTCATAAACTTTTGTTGGAGGAAATGGTATATGAGTAGAGCTGTGAATATGAAGGAAATTAACGTTTGAGGACATCTTGTTCCACTTACTAGTTGTGTGTACTTAGTCGTGTGACTCAACCTATTTCTTCATCTGTAAAATGGGGATAATGGTTCCACCCTGATGGGATCGTTGTGAAGATTATGAGTTAACCAGGTAAAGCATTCAACAATTACCTAGCACATAGCACTTGATAAAGGTTTGTTGTTGCCACCACCATCAGTATCCTCATCATCAGACCAGTGAATGTAAGTAGTCACTTTAAGGAGCTATTTGCAACATCAAATAGTCTTTCAATGTATATGAAATATTTATTCTAAATGCCTTCTTTCCTATTCATAGATGTGCTGTTGCAATGACTTATTAAATTATATATTGCAAGAGCTAATATATGGAAAAGTGATTAATTATAAAGGTCAAATATTAAGAATTATTTTACAATTTTTGATAGCAATATTATTTAGGCAGGTTGCAGCACTTTATAATCATTCGTTAAAAACAATTACTGAGTTCCTACTTTGTGCCAGACACTATTTTAAGTGCTAAGGCTCTAGCAGTGAATAACACAGAGTCCCAGCCTTCACTGAACCTGTTTTAGTGAAAGTGAGCAGACAGTCAACGGATAAAGAAGAAAACATATGGTGTATCAGATGGTGACAAATTCCATGGAAAAATATAAAGCAGAGGAAGAGAGACAAATCGTCACCTGCTTGTCAAATCCAGTGCATACTGACTGTCCTTGTCTTATTTTTCTTCAGCATTTGGTTGTTTATCATTCCTTTTTCTTTTAGGTGCTGAAACATTCTCTCTTGATTTCCCTACTGTCTGTCTGTATAGGGGATCATGTGTTACCACACGGCCGAGGACAGACTCTGGAGCTGGAATAAAATCCTGACTCACTTTTAACGACACATGTGCAAGTTATATTGAGCAAGTTATATTAACTGTGCCTCTGTTTCCTTATGCACCAAAAATAGTTGATAATGGGATGGGTGAAATAAGTGAAGGTACAAACTTTACAGTTATAAACAAGTCATGAGGTTGAAAAGTACAGCATAGGGAAGATAGTCCATGATAATGACAGATGGTAGCTACACTTACCGTGGTGAACATTGTATTATGTACTGAATTGTCGATCACTGTGTTATACACCTGAGACTAATATAACACTGTATGTCAGCTATATTTCAATGATAAAAAAATTTTTAAAAATGGGTGATAGTCATAAAACCTGCCTGACGGAGTTGCTTTCCTATGGCAGACAGCCATTTTATACTGCCCAGGACATGCAGCCACATGAGTGTCACTCCACCTTTATTTAAAAAAAAAAAAAAAAAAAAAAATTGTCAACCTGATAGCAAGATCCCATAAAGGGCTTTATATGACAAGAGTTCAGGACCTACTCAGCCCCACATCCTACACTGTTCATCTGCCTGTAGCCATACCTGTGGACCATGTCATAACTCTTCCTAACAATGGTCCAGATAGTCAGCAACAAGCATATTTATACTCATTATTGTTGTTTAGAAGTCTTGATAAAGATCTGACTTTTTGACAAGTGTGAGATTCTGTAAAATTCCAAATAGTAGCTGTCAAGATACCTGAGAGTTTTCAGTCTTTGACTGCCAGAATAATACTCTGGTAATATTTTTATATTTTTCTTACTTCCTTCCCTCCCTCCTTTCCCAGATCACTCAGGAAGAATACAGAACTCAAAGACGTTGCTAAGGGCACGTGGGTGGCTCAGTCAGTTAAGCATCTGACTCTTGACTTTGGCTCAGGTCATGATCTCTTGGTTCATGAGTTCAAGCTTCACATCGGGCTCTGCCGTGACAGTGCAGAACCTTCTTGGGATTCTGTCTCCCTCTCTCTCTGGCCCCTCCCCAGCACACTCTCTCTCTCTCTCTCTCAAAGTAAATAAAAATAAACTTTAAAAATAAAATAAAATTTTTAAAAGGTTGCTGAAATTACTATTTTGATACACTAAATAACACATTTTCCTCAATCCTTTGGATTTTTTTTTAGAAACAACTCAGATTATTGGCATGAGTGCCACACTGAACAATGTTGAAGACCTTCAAGAATTCCTTCAAGCAGAATATTACACCAGTCAGTTTAGACCAGTATGTACCTAAGGTTTGCGCTGTATGGATTTGTTTTATATCATCTTACTCAGAAAGAAAAGTAGCTGGGGCGCCTGGGTGGCTCAGTCGGTTAAGCATATGACTTTGGCTCACATGATCTCACAATTTGTGAGTTCGAGCCCCACTTTGGGTGAGCTGGATCCACACTCTCTCTCCCTCTCTCTCTCTCCCTCTCTCTCTCCATCTCTCCTCTCTTTGCACCTCATGGGATTCTCTCTGTCTCTCTCTCTGCCCCTTCCTCACTCATGCATGTGTGTGTGTGCCCTCTCCTTCTCTCTCACAGAAATAAATAAATAAATAAATAAATAAATAAATAAATAAATAATTTAAAAGAAGAAAAGTAGCTAACATACCATATAAAAAATACCATAGAGTAGGTATACCATAGAAGGGATATAATTCCAGTCACCATAGCTGCATGCTAATAAGAGTTTGTGTATAAAGAACATAAACTCCATGGGGTCAGGATCTTAGCTTGGGTCACTTGCGTGTCTGTAGCACCTCAACAATACTTGGCTTATGGGCCTTCAATGAATATTTATTGAATGAAATTTTCCAGATACATTCTATTTTTCTACTTCTTCTTAAAAATTCTTTCATTTGCTCAGAATTTAGTCATTCATATTTTGAGTCATTGGCATATAAAAGCATTTAACTTAAAAGTTAAAATATTTTCATATATTTATGCATTGGTAGTTACAATGCTTTTTTAATAAGCTAAGACTTCATGTGGATTTAAATTTAAACTCCCTAATAATGGTATTCCCAAAAGACTTAAAAAAGTAAATATATTTCTTAATTATCTGAAAGTAGCTTATAGTGAACATCTGCTCTGTCTGCAGTACCCATGTGCATATTCAGTGTCTAAATAGCTTTTCAGAAAATAGTTATTGAGAATCGCCAACTTTAATTTTAAAATTTGATGTTTTTACATTTGCATCAAAGAGGAGAATTTTCGAGACACTTGGCTGACCTTAATAGTCAAATTAGACACTCTTCTTTTAAAAATGCAATGAACTGTATTCATAAACTTCTTTTGTCTACAAATACTTAAATTAAAGAGAATATCGTGGTATGTAGAATTAAAACTGATGACTGATGAGACAGAAAATTTTAGATCTTGAGGAATAACACAAATAACTCCTTAATAAAAGAGTGTGAACATTGGCTTATTTATACTTCTTGTGACAAATAACAGAAGTGTCTGGTTTCCTTTTAGTGGATATTCAATTCAGAAGTATTTCTTTAAGGGTATTAATCCCTACTTTGATTGAAAGGGAAAAGAGACTCAAAGAAATGGTAAAGAAAAAACTTTTAAATTGAAGCATGTTTTGCATACCTTAGAAAAGCGACAGTTTTTCTATAGCTGTCCTTTTTTACAACATACTTCACAAAATTTTAAACTTGGAAAGAGGAATTTGTATGTGGTATTAATTGCAAATGTCTTTTTAATGCAAGGTTGAATTAAAAGAATATTTGAAAATAAATGATGCGATATATGAGGTTGACAGCAAAGCTGAGAATGGCATGACTTTTTCACGTCTACTGAATTATAAGGTAACATTTTAATATCCCTTGAATACGAGGTTCCCAAGCTTTGTGCCTAGGTGCCCTGGGGCACCACATAAGATTCACATGGGTGCCGTAGGATAGTTTAGATTTTTGAGAGAAACAGTGGATGCTTGACATCTGTTGGACACCATACAAACTACCACTTTGAGGTAGTTTCCAGTTTTAACATTAGATCACACTGTATTCCTTTCTATGATATTATATCTTAGTGAAGTTTTTTTTGTTTGTTTTTTGTAGTTACTGTAAACAAATACTGTGTGACAGTCAACGTGGGACAGAAAAAAGAGTAGCCAGGTCCAATCTGATTCTAAGATTTGGAAGACTATGGGGTGCTCAGTTGTGCGCACATCCTGTTCGTTAGCTATTATGGTTAAAAATGAAATAACAGTATCTTTTTCACTCAACTGATGTGTATTATTTATTCAAATGGCTACGAAATTGTGAGGAAATACGTACTTCAGTTGTTTGCACCTAAATACCTAATAAACAAAACTGTTAGGTATTTCTTTTGGCCCTGGGGCTCCATGAACCAAGAAAATCTGGAGACCTCTCCCTTAAATGTTTATTCATTCAGTAACAAGCACAAAACAAGAAGAAACTTTTGTGGGCTATGTAGTTCAGATATTGTATATAAAATGTTAATGTCTACTATGTTAATGTTTTGTGACTTATGTAAAGTATATTAAAAAGAGAAGAAAGGGATTTTACAATAGTTTAGAATTCCATAAAGGTATATTCTAAATCTGTATCTTAGTTTTTAATAAAGTTGAAGGAAGTGAGATTTTTAAATAATTTTATATTTTTCTCTATGTTGAATTCCTTATGTCTACTTGATGAGTACATTTTTTATTTCTGAAAATATATCCTGTAATGTGATTGAATCTGTGTTTTTGAAAACTGTTAGTGAAAGGCATATCTTATCTATATGGTCCTTTGATCATTATTAGGCTCAATCTGTGTTTCTCTCTGTGGACTTTTTGTTTTGCTCCAGTGGAGCTGAACATGCAGTGGGGTTATTAAAACATTTACTATTTTCATTTCTGTAATTTAAAACTAAATATGCCTAACAAAGCCCTAATAACCTAAAAGTGGGACTTAACGTCTTAAAATTTAATCTGGGTCTCTTCTTTTCTTTTAAAGGATCAGATTTATTAAATGAGAACTTCACAATTAAGGATGGTTTACTTACCTTTCAAAGCACACTGGTAAAATGACAGGTTTTCATGGTTGCTAACTACCTTGTTCCTGCATCTTGTTGTACAGTATTCTGATACTCTGAAAAAGATGGATCCTGATCATTTGGTAGCATTGGTGACAGAAGTTATTCCCAATTATTCCTGCTTAGTTTTTTGTCCCACTAAGAAGAACTGTGAAAACGTAGCAGAAATGATATGCAAATTTTTAAGCAAGTATGTTAATCTTTAAAAAATATTCTGTTTTATTTTATCATGATTTACATGCTATATATTCTGTTCATTCAACAAGCACTGGTTATTTCTTGTAGAACATCATAACTACAGTCGATTTTAAAGGTCCTAACCTTGAAGAAAGTTTAACTGTGAGATTCGTATATGTGAAATAGGCAAAGAATTCTAAGGTTACATGGAAGAGAATGCTGACTGATATAATGGTTTTAGATCAATGATTCTCAACCTTGACTGCAAATGCATCCTCTCAAGGGCTTTTAAAAATCTCAGTGCCCAGGTTACATCCCAGAAAATCAGAATCTCTGCAGGTGGGGCCCAGGTATCAGGATTTTGTAAAACTTTCCAGGCAGGTTCAACCTGCAGCAAGTTCACCCACTGGCTATTGTAGTCAGAGGCCCAGGCACTAATCACTGTGGATATGAATCATATCTTCAACTTAACCTTCTCTTTAATTAAATACTGTTGCCTTAGTTTTCTTAGTAAACTTTACACTAAAGTAAATAAATTTGAATTTGAATTGAATTTCTTAAGTAATTAAGAAATTTATTAGCTTGTAACTTTATAGTATTTTAATATTGGCTCTTTTATACTCATAGCAATGGGTATAAAGTGACTTTAAGTATGAACAATTCAGTTTTTTTCTGTATCTTTGTCCCATGTGTAGTTTTATCGTATTTTTCAGACTTCTTTTTTGCCCCTTAGCCAGTGCTGTATCACCATTCATAGATAGTTATGGATTCTAATTCAGCCCTCACCTCCCCATCCAGTCCTACTGTCATGGATTGGTCTAATATAGTTAATTTACTGACCAGCACAATGATGTAGATGTTTAGGATAAAGTCAAGGAGTTTCCCATTTTGGTAACTAATAGTCTGCCTTTACAATGATGATGTTGATTATAAAAACCTAAAGAAATTAAATTATCATTGAGGTAGTCTCAGTAAATCATTTGTTTTCATAGAATAAGGGAATATAGCACCAGCTAAGCGATATGGAAATTTATTAGAGACTGACATTTCCTGGGAGACATGAGACTTACTAATTTTACCCTTGATTTATTTTGCTTTTGGTGATAATAGGTTTTTGGGGACATAAATGTTGGTGTTTAACACTGAAGCACTTAAAAATTTGGTTTTCTAGAATCCTTAGTTAATGAATTATAGTAGATACTTGATACTTTCTAAAAGAGATAGGACTCAACATCGTCTGAAAGAAAATTTCCTCTAAAATATATTTTGCATATTACTTGCTGCTTTCATAAGCTGAATGTTCTGAGTATAGTTCAGTACCCCTTTTTGTGGCTCTTGATTAAAAAATGGTGAATCATGTTTTGAGCATACTTTCTTTATTCTGTAATTTATATGTAGATAAAGTAAATCTAGAGCTAAATGGGTTCTAAATGAGTATCTTTAAAACATGATTTCTTGAGGGGTGTCTGGATGGCTCAGTCCATTAAGCTTGTGACTTCAGCTCAGGTTATGATCTTACAGTTCATGAGTTCGAGCCCTGCATCGGGCTCTGTGCTGACTGACCTCTGCCTCCCTCTCTCTCTCTCTCTCTCTCTCTCTCTCTCTGCTCCTCCCCAGCTTGCAACCTCCCTCTCTCAAACATAAATAAACATTGAAAAAAAAACTTTTTAAAAAATGTGATTTCTTGAGAGTCCTGTGATATCCACTTGTATCTTAATTATGTTCCTCCTTATCATAAGTGTCATGGGAAACTGGTGTAATGAAATCCCCTGGGCAGTAGAATCTGGCTCTATGTCTGTTTAAAATAATAGGTACTCTTAGATGCAGAGACATTGTGGGATATTATTGAAGCTTCTAAAATGCTAGTGTTTAGACCATTGGTGTTTTACATAAGTACATATGATTTGATAACAAATATGTTTCCATCTTCACAGAAGCAAATGACTTAAAATTTCTTTAAAAAGCCAATAAAAATGTATGTTCTAATGAAAAAACTAATTGTAACATCTACAGCAAGTGTCTTAACCTGCCTTCATAGGCAATACAGGAATGAACTTCAGCAAGTCCATGAACTTATAAGCAAAGTGTTATGTTTGATGTTTATTTTATGTTTCTTTTCCTTAGTCTTAATCATATTTTCATAGGACTCTGTGATATACAAAAAGATTGAGAGTGGCTCATAATTGATGAACTCAGAATCAGAATTCTAAGAACATCTTATGTACTTCTATTAATGAAAGCAATATCTTTTTTAATAAAGAACTTTTACACGCATCTACTAAAGTTAAACCAGTAGGCACTTTGTTCCCGTAAGATCAAGGGTTCATATTTCTAACAGATCGTTTTTCCTAGGGAGTATCTGAAACACAGGGAGGAAGAAAAACATGAGGTGATTAAAAACTTGAAGAATGTCAGCAGTGGCAACTTGTGTCCTGTTTTAAAGCGCACCATCCCTTTTGGGGTTGCTTATCACCACAGTGGTTTAACAAGTGATGAAAGGAAACTCTTGGAAGAGGCCTATTCCACAGGAGTTCTGTGCCTTTTTACCTGCACATCCACCCTCGCAGCAGGCGTTAATCTACCAGCTCGAAGGTAAGACACACGGAAACTATTGGCCGGGCTTGAAACTTTTTAATTCTTAGCTTGCCAGGAGTTCTGTTGTTTTGTTCTTTCTCGGTAGTGGGTGAGAATTTATCAAATTGTTTTTTCTCATTTGCTGAGTTAATTGTGTGGTTTATTTCCTTTATTTTGATGAAAAATAACTTTAGTAGATTTCCTGATATTAGAATTCCTTTCTTTGGTGCTCTCCCTATCTGGTTTTGACATCAAGGTTTATTTTTTTAGTTGTAAACAATTGGCAAGCTTTCTACCATTTTTATGATCTGAAAGAGTGTGTTTAACATAGGGATTTCGTTGACAGCTTAGAGAACTCATCCATAAAGACTTCTGAGTCTAGTATCTTTTTAGAGTAAGTCTTTGATTATCTTTTCAGTTACTACCAAAGCTATAGGCCTGTATAATTGATTTATGATCTTTATAATTTGTGACTTTAAACTTTGTGACATTTTTTAAAATACAGGTATTTCCTGTTGGGTATGCAGTTTTGGACATCTCCATGAGACCACAGTTAATCTTGTTACCAGCTCCTCTGTTTTCTATTTGTGATTCTTTGATCGGTTTGTTTTCAGAGAGCTGTGTTAGTCTCCCACTGTTATTACAGAGTTGTCAATTTCTCCTTTTTGCATTGCTAGAAGTTTTTACTTTCTATTTCAAAACTCTTGAAGTATACAAAGATTTATTTCAAATATCTTATTGTTGAATCATACCTTTTATCAATATAATAGGTCCTTGTTTTTCTCATTGAGTGATTTTACTTTGAACACTAGGACTACATTTTCTTTGCCGAGTTTATCTTTTTCCATTCTTTTATTTTCAACCTCTGTCACTGATTAAATTTTCCTTTTTTCAGATAATTGGAGAATTAAAATGAAATTATATATCCTATTTCTCTTATTTCCAGTTGTTACTCTTAAAATTTTAAGTTATAATCAAACATGCTTTTCTGCCATTTTAGATTTAGTCAAGAACTTTGTCCTCTCCTGAAGATAACAAGTCTTAGCATTTGTATATTCTCCTATACTGCCTCATGTATGTTGCAGCTTCCTAAAGTTTTAGTTTCAGATTTTTAATTTTCTTTCATCTTATAGTCCATAATTATTCAAACTATCCTATGAATTATACTTGTTTTTTGTTTACCACTACCTCATATCTCACATATTCCTTCTGTGGTTTACTTTTAATTTTGCCATCCTTGAGTAGTTAATTTTTTTTTGTTTATTTATTTTGAGTGAGAGAGAGAGTTCAGGGGAGGGGCAGAGAGAGAGGGAGATAGAGAATCCCAAGCAGGCTCCACGCTGTCAGTGCTGGGCCCAAAGTGGGGCTCAATCTCACTACCATGATTTTATGACCTGAGCTGAAATCAAGAGCCTGATGCTTAACCTGCTGAGCCACCTAGGTGCCCTGAGTAATATTTTTTGTAATGTTTATTTATTTTTGGGAGAGAGAGCACGTCCACATGCACACACGTGAGTTAGGGAGGAGTAGAGAGATAGGGAAACACAGAATCCAAAGCAGGCTCCAAACTCTGAGCTGTCAGCACACTGCCTGACGCAGGGGCTCAAACTCATGAACCACGAGATTGTGACCTGAGCCAAAGTCGGATGCTTAACTGACTGAGTCACCCAGGCACCTCCTGAGTAATTTTTCTTTTCTTTCTTTCTTTCTTTCTTTCTTTCTTTCTTTCTTTCTTTCTTGTCTTTTACTTTCATTCTTTTATTTTTCCTTACAGGCAGACTTCTTATCTTCTTCGTTTTTTAATTTTATTTTTTAAATTTACATCCAAATTAGTTAGCATATAGTGCAACCATGATTTCAGGAGTAGATTCCCTAATGCCCCTCATCCATGTAGCCCATCGCCCGTCCCACAACCCCTCCAGTAACCCTCTGTTTGTTCTCCATACTTGATAGTCTCTTATGTTTTGTCCCCCTCTATGTTTTTATATTATTTTTGCTCTCCTTCCCTTATGTTCATCTGCCCTGTGTCTTAAAGTCCTCATATGAGTGAAGTCATGATATTTGTCTTTCTCTGACTGCTGAGCAATTATTTTTTAAATGCTAGATTGGGGGGTAGAAATTTTTGAGTCTTTTTATAGCTGAAGGTGTTTTTATTTTAGCTTCACACTTGAACATCTTGCTAGGAAAGGAATTCTAGTTTCAATTTTTTTCCCTTTGGGGACTTTGTAGTATTGTTCCATGTCTTTTAGGAGCCACTGTTGCCCATTTTTGTTTTTGCATAGGTTTGTTTTTTCCTCTCCAGAAACTTAGATTTTTCTCTGTTACCTTAAAATTTCATCATAGTGTATAATTATAATTGCAGCTATTATACTCCCTCCCCTGTGTCATAACAGCTTTACATGCATTGACTTAATAGAGCTTCATGACAACTCTGTGAAGAAGGTTATATTTTATTGTCCACATTTTATAGAACAGAAAACTGAGACACTGAACAATTAAATAATGTACCCAACTTCATGCCAACAAATGAGTTTCAAAAACCAAGATTTGAAACCCTGGAAATTTAATTCTTAATCCCAACCATCCCAGTTTAGCTACTTTTTATTCATAGGTCTTAGCACTTGGGAAAATGCTTTCAGTCTAAGGTTTTATGCCTTTTATGCCTCCGGCACCTGGTGGCTCAGTCATTAAGCATCTGACTTTGACTCAGGTCATGATCTCACAGTTGGTGAGTTCGAGTCCCACATCAGGTGAGCTCATGCCCTGCTTTGGGTGAGCATGCGTGCTGCATCAGGTGAGCATGAGCCCCACTTCAAATTAAAAAAAAAAAAAAAAAAAAAAAAAACAGAAACAGGAGCCCCGGGTGAGCCCCGCTTCTCTCTCTCTCTCTTTCTCTCTCTCTCTCTTTCTCTCTGCCTCTCGTGGGATTCTCTCCCTCTCTGCCCCTGACTCACTTGCACCCTCTCCCCCGCTTCCCCCCCAAAAAAGTTTTATGCCTTCATCTTACTTTTTGTTTGGCTTTTTCTTTTTTTTCCATTATCTCTGTTCTCTGTTTTTGTAACTTCCCTTGGACAGGGTTGAAGCCTGGTAGATTGGGCTTTCAAATCTCTAAAGTTTTCTTACACAGTTTTCAGTCTGTATGAGCTATGTGATTTCTTCAACTTTACTTCTATGTGACAAGATCATTTTTTTATTGTATCCCATTAACTGTGTTCATTCATTATTAAGTCCGTCTTTGAATTTTTTAATGAATTTAAAATTGTTTCTTAATTTCCAAGAACTATCTTCTCTTATTGCTCTTCATTTATAATAGTCTGTTCTCATATTGTGAATATAATACCCTCTAGAATTTTCTGTGAATACTGATCAGAATTTTTAAGAATTCTTTCTGTTCCCTGTTTCTGCATATTCTTGTCTTTCTTTTATGTCCTTAGTTTTCTTCAAGTGTTTATAATCTTGGCTGTCCATAGAGATTTATAAATAAAAGAGTAGGTTGGTTAGTAGATAAATGACATGTTTCCTCTCACTTTTGAGCAGGAAAACTAGCTACAGACTTTTATATACATGAGCAGGATTGAAAGTACCATGTTTGTACATCAAAAACGGTTGAAACTTGTAATTTTATATAGTTGACAGTAATATAAATATATGCATATATACATAAGCAGGAATATGTTCATAGTGCATGGTCAGATTTTTCATTTATGAAGTATAGAATCAAAAATCTTTGGAGACTGTTGTTCTAGTGACAATCATAAGCTTTGTAGCTAGGCCAACATGTTCAGACCATAGTTCTGGTAATTACTAGTTTTGTGGGTTGAGGTAATCCACTTAGCTTGTCTGTGCTTCAGTTAGTCCCTTTGTAAAAAAATAAGATAAAATAAAATAATAAAGAATATTATTACCAAGAATTTTGTAAGAATTACTGATAATGTATATAAAGAATCTAGGACATCACAGGTTCTTGGTAAATAGTAGTCACTTATTATTTTGAGTTAACATGTCATTAAATTTAATACCAGATAAATAATACAGAATTTAAAAGATAGATGCTATTATCATAGATGGAGTATCACTTTTAATTAATATTATCAATTCCATAGAGTTATTTTAAGAGCTCCCTATGTTGCCAAGGAGTTTTTAAAGAGGAACCAATATAAACAGATGATTGGCCGAGCTGGCCGTGCTGGGATAGATTCTATTGGGGAGAGTATCCTTATACTGCAAGAAAAAGACAAGCAACAGGTAATAATCAATCCAGTTGGTGGTTAATCATTTTGTCTCATTTTGGTCTTTGGTTGTAGCTCTTTTATGATATATATCATCCTTTAAAAATTTATTAATTTTATTAATATTTATAATATTAAATATTATATAAAATATTAATATATTATAAAATATTAAAATTTATTAATATTTATTTAAATAGTGTTTCTTTCTCCTCTCTGATTAAGAACTAGAACAAGTAGTTTGAATACTTTTGTATTTCAGGCAAGCAATAAAAAGTATTTTCCCTATTTATCTTTCTTCCATTTTCATGAAAACACCTGCTAAATTCTTATTTGTTTTTATGTCTTTAAATTCCCCCTGCTTCTACAAGATCTATGCAAAATAGAAAATTTTATATAGAACACTTTATTGTTTTATAATAACACAAAACATAATATTGCTTTAACTTTTGTAGGTATTGGAGTTAATAAGCAGACCATTGGAAAACTGTTATAGCCATCTTGTTCAAGAATTCACTAAGGGAATCCAAACTTTGTTTCTCTCTTTAATTGGTTTGAAGGTATTTTTCAATATTTTTAAATCTTATTACTGTTATGTGAGATAATAGAGATTTAAAAGTTATGAGAACTGTAAAGTAGAAAAAAATGCTAACCTCTAATCTAATGTGGAGAAGAACAGCCTGACATGCTAAATCTGAATCTAGATTTATATGTGCATTTTTAATGCTTTGAGTTGTATGAAATATGAAAAATCAACAAATCATAACTGGGCATCATTACAAGTGAGAGACTTTTTGGAGACTCTGGGGATTATAAGAAGCTGTAAAGACATGGGTCCTGATGTGGGGTAATCCATCATCTCTACCTTTGTGAGGAATAAGGTTCACTTGTTGTCCTGTGATCATTCTAGGATATTATAAACATTTGTGAGATCAGTATAGCCTTTATCAGACAACAAATTTAAAAAGAAAAGGCACACTAGGAAAACACTCCTTTTCTTAGAGATTAGCTCTCTTTTAGGGTTACTCTTGAGTTAAAATTCTTTTTTAGGGTTATTCGTAAGTAAATTTTAACTTTGTGTCTAAGGGCACATGGCCATAAAGAGGCAAAGCCAGAGTTTGAATTCAGCTTTGTTCAACTACAAAACCAGTGGTCTTAACCTATCATGCAGTATATCTTTATTAGCCTAAACAGTTTGGGTGAACACACAAAAGATAATTAATAAAAAAAAATACCATAAGTTTTGATTACCTTATAGATGAATAGTGGAATATTATAATATCCCTTAGCAGTTCAGAATAGTGAAAGGTTATAAGGAAGAAAAGAAATCAGTGCTAGGTAGTGAAAGAGATAGAAGTTGTCAGGGCACCTAGGTGGCTCAGTTGGCTAAGCATCCAACTCTTAATTTTAGTTCAGATCATGATCTCACAGTCCTGAGATTGAGCCCCACAAGCCCCACAAACCCCACATCAAGCTCCACATTGACCATGGAGCCTGCTTAAGACTTTCTCCCTTTCTCCTCTCCCTCTCTCTACTCCTCCCCTGCTCGCATGCTCTCTCTCTCTCTCAAAAAAAAAGAAGTTGTAGAAGTTGTAGATAAGCAGAGGGAAAGAATAAGCCATTCCAGGTACTTAACATAGAATGAATGATGAGAAAGCTAAAGATGTTGTGGGGTATCAGTCAACAGACTAGATTCTGTAGCTCTAGAGAAGGCCTACAGATCCTGAAGAGGTGAAGGTTGGGTGGGAAAAGTTGGGCCAGATTGTGTGCTATAAATTGGGGAAGATAGGAGAGCATGCTTAAATAGTAGCCTAAAGAGTTGTGACACTGTCACATATCAGTGGAGCGTTAGTAAAGTGTGGTGGTTGAGAGCAGGAGCTCTGATATCACACATACCTGTGTCCCAGTCCCAACTCTGTCTCTTATTACCCTGGGTAAGGTATTAGCTCTCTCGTAAACCTCGCTCAGTTGCCTTATCTGTAAAATGGGGATAATAGCATGCAGAAGTATTGCAAGACTTGTTTAAAAGTAATTGTAGTAATCCACGTATAATGTAATAAATCCTTACAATAGGGAGGTTGCTAAGGAATTAGTAAAGGAGGAAGAGATCATAAAGATCATCAAGTCTTATTCCATTTATATATTAGATAAGGTAACAGACTCAGAAAACTGGTGAGTAGTCTAAGATCATTCAGTGAATTATGGTTTAGATGGGACTATAATTTAGTTTCCTGCCATGCTGGCCTGTACTCTTTCCAGTGTACCAGTGTGTGTGTGTGTGTGTGTGTGTGTGTGTGTGTGTGTGTGTGAAATATTTCTCAAGTGCGTGGGAAATATTTCACCAATGTAGACCATATTCTGAGATCATAGACAAGTCTCAATACATTTAAAAGGATTGAAATCCAATATAGTATTGTGTCTAATGAAAGCAATTATAGTATACCAGCAATAATAGAAGGATAACAGGGAATTTCCTAAATATTTGGAGATTAAATAGCACACTTGACCAGTGGTCAAAGTAGAAATTCCAAAGGAAATTAGAAAATATTTACGATGGAATGAAAATGGAAACAGATATACCAAAATTAGTGGCATGAAGCCAAAGAAGTGCTGAAAAGGACATTTATAACTTTAGATGCTTATTAGAATATAAGAAAAATCTAAATTCAGGGTCTACGTTTTACTTTAGGAATGTGGGGGGAAAAAAGCCCAAGTAGAAAGAAGGAAATAATTAGTAAAAGCAAAAATGAAATAAAAAATAGACAAACTGGAGAATAAAAATAATGAAAACACAAGCTAGCTCTCTGAAACGATCAGTAAGATTATTGACTGATTTGATAACAGAGGGAAAAGAGAGAACACATAAATTACCAATATCAGTAATGAAAGGAGGGTCATCACTAAAGATCCTAGAGATATTAAAAGGATAGTAATGAATAATCCTGAAATAATTGTATCTTTGAATGCTGAAAAATGAGTTCAATTATTTAAATGAAATGAGAAAATTCTTGGAAGACACAATTTTTGAAATTGACTGAAGTAGCAGCAGAAAGTCTAAATAGTCCTATATCTATTAAAGAAATTGAATTTACAACTTAAAACTTACCACAAAGAAAATTCCAGGCTCAACTGACTTCACTGGTAAACTCTATCAAACATTTAAGGAAGAAATAATACCAATCATACACATATTCTTCCTTTGTAGAGGAAGAGGGAACACTGCTCATCTCATCTTTTGAGATCAGCATTATCCTGATACCAAAACCAGACAAAGATATTACAAGAAGAGAAAACTACATATTTATAGTAAAAATAGATAATAAAAATCCTTATCAAAGTATTAGTAATACAGCAACACAATCAGAGTTTATTCCAGTATTGCAAAGTTGGTTTAACATTCAAAATTCAATGTTATTATTTATTTGACAGAATTCAACACCCACTCATGATAAAAACTCAGCAAATTAGAAGAAAACATCATCAACTCAATAAAAGGTGTTTATTTAAAAACAAAACAACAACAACAACAACAAAAAACCACTGCTGGTAACATCACACTTAATGGTGAAAGACTACATGTTTTTCCCTCTAAGATCAGAAAAGAAAAAAAAAGGTCTACTTTCACACTGCTTTTCAGGATATATCAGAAATCATAGCCAGTACAAGACAGAAGAAAAACAAGGGTACATAGTTTAGAAAGCAAGAAGTAAAACTGTCTTATTTGCTGATCGTAGGTTCAAGAAAAACCCAAAGGAATGTACAAAAAAAGCTAGAGTGTAATCAGCAGTGTCATAGGATACAAAGTCAGTGTACAAAACTCAATCGTATCTGTATACTCACTACAAATAATTGGAAAAACAACTCCATTTACAATAGCATCCAAAACATGCAACACTTAGGGATAAATTTAACTACTGTGTGTGAGACCTATATACTCAAAACTGTAAAACTGCTGAGAGAAATTAAACAAGACCTAAGTAAATAGAGAGAGGTACCATATTCAAGAATTGGAATTTTCAGTTTTGATCAGATGTTACATCCCAAAGTCTATAAATTTAGTGCAATCCCAGTCAAAATCTCAACAAGCTTGTTTGTGGAAATTGAAGACTGATAGAATTTATTTGGGAATGCAAGGAGTGGAATAGCCAAAATTTAATTTTGTGAAAAAACAAGTATTCATACTACTTCAAGATTTACTATAAAGCTTCAGTAATCAAGACAGTGTGATATTGGTGCAAGGATCATATAGAACAATAGACTAGGAAGTCCAGAATTAGGCCCACACATATATGATCAATTTTTTTTTTTTTTAAGTAATCTCTATACCCAACTGGGGCTTGAACTCAGGACCTCAAGGTCAAGAGTCGATGCTCTACCAATGGAGCCAGCCAGGCATTCCTCATATATGATCAGTTTTTTTTTTTAATTTTTTTTCAACGTTTTTATTTATTTTTGGGACAGAGAGAGACAGAGCATGAACGGGGGAGGGGCAGAGAGAGAGGGAGACACAGAATCGGAAACAGACTCCAGGCTCTGAGCCATCAGCCCACAGCCCGACGCGGGGCTCGAACTCACGGACCGCGAGATCGTGACCTGGCTGAAGTCGGACGCTTAACCGACTGCGCCACCCAGGCGCCCCTATATGATCAGTTTTTAACAAAAGGTGCCAAGATATTTAAATGGACAAAGGATAGTTTTTTTTTCAACAAATGGTGCTGTACCGACAAGATATCTGCATAGAACAACAACAACAAAATAACCTTTACTCTTACCTCACTCTAATTTTGTCCAAAATAATGAACTCAAAGTGGATCATAGACCTAAATAAAAGCTAAAATATAACTCCTAGAAGAACATATAGGAGTAAATTGTTTGTTTGTTACCTTGGGTTAAGATTTCTTACGTGGAAACAAAAAACATAAACCATGAAGAGAAAAAAATGAATGAAATAGACTTCATCATAATTTTTAAAATTATCTTCAAAAGACACTGCTAAAAAATGAAAAGCATGGAGGAAATATTCATAATACATACCCTGACAAATATGTATATGAGTTAGGACTCAGCAAAAAGCAGTGAAATTGGGAGGGAGTTGGGACTTCACTTAAGACAAGCACACTCAGGTAACAGGGAGACTGGGAGACCTGACTTGGCCACAAGGGTGTGGTTTTATGGGCCTGGCAAAGCAAGATCTACCGGGAACAACAGTTGCATTTAAATTCTGTTTTAACAGCTGGAGTACAGCAGCAAGAAGTCCAGGCAGCAGTTGGTTCAGGAGACTAGCAGGTAGGCGGCTGTTGTTCCACTCCTGCCCATAAGAGGCAGAACTCAAGAAACTGGACCCAGTCTTGAGAGGGACAGGTCATCAGGGGTCCTCTTACACCTTGGGGAAGGGGTTCACAACAGGGCTCCAGTTGTGAAAGAAGGCAGAGAACAGGAAAACCTTTAGAGTTGGAATTGAAGCAGGAATCAAGTCCTCTGGACAGGAACAACCAGGTAGAAGAGGGGTGAGAGGCAAGAAGGGCAAGGTCTGTGACTTGGGCAGCAGGTACAGGAAGATACAGATGAGCAGCCCTGGAGAGACTAGATCCATGCTTTAGTGGAAGAGAAGGAAACTCCAGGAATTAATGAGACGACATAACAGTGGTTGGGCCATCGCATTCAGGGAGCCTCTAGGTATCATTTATTTATCACAGCCATATTTCAGACACCCTGTATGTTTTATCTCTGATTCCTGCATACCTTTGAATTAAGTAATAATCCACAAACTGAGTATCAGTTTTGAATATCTTAAAACTGCAGTTTTGGCTTAATTGAATACTATATTAAGAATGAGGGGCGCCTGGGTGGCGCAGTCGGTTAAGCGTCCGACTTCAGCCAGGTCACGATCTCGCGGTCCGTGAGTTCGAGCCCCGCGTCGGGCTCCGGGCTGATGGCTCAGAGCCTGGAGCCTGCTTCCGATTCTGTGTCTCCCTCTCTCTCTGCCCCTCCCCCGTGCATGCTCTGTCTCTCTCTGTCCCAAAAAATAAATTAAAAAAAAAAAAAGTTGAAAAAAAAACAAGAATGAATTTTATTAAGGGGCGCCTGGGTGCCTCAGTCGGTTGGGCGTCAGACTCTTCATTTTGGCTCAGGTCATGATCTCACGGTCTGTGGGTTCAAGCCCCCCATTGGGCTCTGCACTGACAGTACAGAGCCTGCTTGGGATTATCTTTCTCCCTCTCTTTCTGCCTCCTCCCAAATAAATAAATAAATGTTTTTAAAAAAAGAATGAGTTTTATTAAAAGGAAGAAAAGCAATAGGAAATGTCTGTGCCTCATATTTTTTTGTTAATCCTCATATTGGTTTAGTATGAAATAACTACTTAAGTTTTCCAATTGAAACTATCACCAGAATTGTGAGAAAAATATGCTTATTGATTGACTATATTTTAGTATAGTATGCTGATTTCATTGAAATTGGCTAATATAATATTATTCTAATTTAGCATCAACTCTACATCTGAATACCAAATGGAGGGTTAAGTATTACTTATAATTGCCATTATAGATTTTAAATAGTGACTACGAGGGGGAGGAGAGACAGGCAGCAAAAGAGCAGGGGTAAGAGAGACAAAAAGAGAAAACTGTTTATTTTTAGGTGATATGTTGGAAGTATTGCCTGATCCTGTTTCAGAGGAGACTTTCAGTTGTGTTTTACGTGTGTGTGTGTGTGTGTGTGTGTGTGTGTGTGTGTGTGTGTGTTTTAATACAATTTTTATTGCTAAAGAATGCTTGCACAGGTGGCTTGAAAGGAAGAGGTGAAGGGATTTCTGAAGGAGGTTGAGTGGGAATTTGGGATAATGGGCTGGAGAGTAAACAGAGAGCACAGCTTTGGAGATTACTGTGAAAAATTATTCAAAAATCTTAGTTTTTTACTGAAAACTCTGTAGATTTTCATAAAAAGTATAAATATGATAACTTCTTTAACTTGTTTCTTATTAATTTCAAAATCCCACTATAAAATTATCTTTATATATGCAGGTATGTTGACTTTATATAATTTATTTCAATAATTTTGAGGTATGGAGATTAACATGCATTCAAAATGATGCCTTGAATTAAGGACGGTGTCCCAATGATGTCCTGAATCGTTTCAGATTGCAACAAATCTTGATGACATGTATCACTTTATGAATGGTACATTTTTTGGTGTTCAGCAAAAAATTTTGTTGAAAGAAAAAAGCCTGTGGGAAATAACTGTGGAATCACTTAGGTACCTGACAGAAAAAGGACTCCTACAAAAAGACACTACTGATAAGTCTGAAGAAGATTTCCAGCATAGTTTTCATATTACAAAACTGGGACGAGCTTCTTTTAAGGGTAAGAGTTTCCCTAACTTTCTGAGGAAATGTGCTGGGAAAAAAATAGAAATTACATCATTCTGTTTCTTTAAATTGGAATTGTAAGTTCATATTAATAACATTAGGTTTATAAACTGTCAAACTACTTTAGCTTTTAAAAGTTGAAAAATACGGGAGCCTGTCTGGCTCAGTTGGTAGAGCATGCGACTCTTGATCTTGGAGTCATGAGTTCTTGCAGGTAGAGCTGACTTTTTAAAAAAGTTTTCTTAGTAAATAAAAAGTTGAATTACAAGTAACTTAGGGCACTGCAGAAGTATTTGAGGGAAAAGATGGTCATCCCCCTTCATACCCCTCTCCCCTAGCAATCATACAAATCTGAATATCCTACCAAGAATAGCAATTTGGTGTATGTCTTTTCAGACATTTTCTGTACATTTCATTTCAAAACATAATATATACATATATACAAATTTAAGATTTTCTTAAGTTTTTGCTTTTAAATAAACAATCATTTGTATTCCAGAATTTGCTTTTTTTGCTTACTATAATGTCTTGGAAATTATTCCATGGTATGACAGTGGATAGTTTTTTCTTAATGGCTACATCATAATTTACTTAATGAAAAATAATACATTTCTATTGTTTAAAAAAATCCTTAGAACTTAGAATGATGTAAAGGAAAATCCCATTCTCCTGACCCATTTCCCCTCTCCCAGGGGCAACCACTGTTAATAATTTGATGTGTATCCTTCCATGTATTATCTTATATATAGATTAATATGTGTATGTGTATAGGAGCGCCTGGGTGGCGCAGTCGGTTAAGCGTCCGGCTTCAGCCAGGTCACGATCTCGCGGTCCGTGAGTTCGAGCCCCGCGTCGGGCTCTGGGCTGATGGCTCGGAGCCTGGAGCCTGTTTCCCATTCTGTGTCTCCCTCTCTCTCTGCCCCTCCCCTGTTCATGCTCTGTCTCTCTCTGTCCCAAAAATAAATAAACGTTGAAAAAAAAAATTAAAAAAAAATATGTGTATGTGTATATATGTGTGTGTGTGTACATGTGTATAGATTATTTTATGCATCTATTTATGCATATAATTTACATATTATTTTATATTTTATTTTTAAGAATGAAATCATAGCTGGAAGCATTTTTTGGCAATTGCTTTTCTCACTTAAAATATTAGGAGAATCTTAACATGTCAGTCCCTTTAAATATAGCTCATTTTTCTTTTTCTACTGTAATCATCCATACCGTGAATTCTGTAATTTAATTACCCATTCTCCTGTAGACGGACATTTGCACTGTTTTTTATTTTTTTCAATTATAAACAAAGCTGCAGTGTGCATCTCCATGTATGTATTTTTGGTATGTGTGGAAATGTTTCTCTGGGTTAGATTTCCAAAAACAGAGTAGTTGGTATGTACTTGTTAAATGTTGATATATACAATCAAAATGACCTCCAAATGTGCTGAATTAGTTAAGAAGCGGTTTTGGTGGGGCAGATGGGCGAAATAGGTGAAGGGGATTAAGAGTACACTCATCATGATGAACACCGAGTAATATATAGAATTGTTGAGTCACTACATTGTACCCCTGAAACTAATATAACACAGTTACTATACTGGACTCAAAAAACATTTTTTAAAGAGATTTTAAAGACTTTTTGCTATATTTAGGTAACTTCTAAATAAGACCTTTTTAAAATTCACCTTTTTTCCTCTTTGGCAATTATGAGATATAAATGTGTGTATCTTTCTTTTAGGAACTATAGATTTGGCTTATTGTGACGTTCTCTACAGAGACTTGAAGAAAGGTCTCGAAGGACTTGTACTCGAAAGCCTTCTTCACCTAATTTACCTAACAACTCCCTATGATATGGCTTCTCAGTGTGACCCAGACTGGATGATATACTTCAGGCAGGTGAGAATACAAGGTTCTTCAATATAGACTATTTTATTTATTAATGACGATGTAATTTTTGTTAAGTGATTTCACTTTTTTTCTCTGCTAAAATATATATGAAATTGGGCCTTTCATGTTTCAGTTTTTAAAATAGTAATATGGCCATAGCATTTTTGGTTTATTTAACTTAAATAGTACTTTTCTGTTAAATATGAACATGTTCATTATAGAAAAAATAAAGAAAGGTCCAAAAAAGAAAAGAAGATCATCCCTGGTCCCATTCCCCAAAGATAGTTATTGTTATGATTTGGTGACCACTCCATTTTATAATGCCTGGAATGTGGAGAAAATTGTGAAAGTTGTTTTTTGAGAGTTTAATTATATGACAGCTCTATCAGAGCCAGGCATGATGGGTCCAGTGATGTTAACACCTGAGAAGGAATGTCAGTTTTATCACCAATAGCAAGGTGGAACTGATCCTGCTTGTCACAAAACCAGGTGGTCGAGTATGGTTTGTTACGATTCTACCATAACAGGGCAGAGACATGAACATGTATGAGGCAGAGGCAGTGTGTGGCTTTTAATTGCAGGAAATTAGCTTTCTTTTTAATGTCATATTTTTAAATTGTAACTGAGTTGTGTGGTTTTTGTGGGGTTTTTTTGATGTTTATTTATTTTGAGAGAGCGAGGGCACATGCTCATGAGCAGGGGAGGGGCAGAGAGACAGGGAGAAAGAGACTCACAAGCAGGCCTCTCGCTGTCAGCACAGAGCCGGATGTGGGGCTCAATCTCCCAAACTATGAGATCCTGACCTGAGCCAAAATCAAGAGTCTGGCACTTAAGCCACTGAACCACCCATGCATCCTGTAACTAAGTTTTTTTAAGTGGTACTATACAATGCATTTACTTTCAAAAGCTTAACTCTCTTCTCTCTCTCTCCCCCAAACATCTCAGTATTAAACATAACCACATAGTCCATGGAAACCATAGTCCATGGTCATAGTGCTTGTGACTCTGTCTTTAAATGTTCTAATATATGTTATATTTTAATAACATTTTTTGAGCTTGAAATATGTGTTAATAAAATTTGTGTCGTTTTTTCCTATCCTTTAAAACCATGAAAATGTAATATCACAGGAAATACTGGATTTGGTTCAAATGGTGGATTTTTAAAAGTTACAGTTTGATTTTTCTCTGTGTTTACTCTTTTTTAATGTAGTTTAGCCAGCTCAGTCCAGCAGAACAAAATGTAGCTGCTCTTCTTGGAGTCTCTGAAAACTTTATTGGGAAGAAAGCATCAGGTCAAGCTATAAAGAAGGTACCACAGTTTTTTTTTCTCTTCCTAAATAAGTTGATTTAACAAAATTAATGCTGTTATATCATCTCTTTTGTTGATTTGATCTTTTTGTTTCATTTTTTTTCTTTAAGTTAATATAATTCCCAGTTTATTTTTTAAAACATTCTCAGGACCAGAAATTTGGGCATTTTTTAAAAATAGTATTTGTTTTTGGATGATGTGATGTTCTTTTTTTGTGGGTGTACCTTTGTATTTCTGAAACACTGTCATGCACATATAAGCTTCTTGTCATAGGAGAAAGTAAGCCTTATTTTTCTTAAGCTACTGATGCCTTACATTATAAAAATTGTAAAATACTTATAAAATGTTTTTATCATAGTATATAATCCTGAAATAAGTTCAGTTCAAGGGAGAAAAAGGTATTTTCTAGAAGCTTTTTTTTTTTTTAAATAATCTCTATGCCCAGCATGGGGCTCAAACTCACAACCCCGAGATCAAGAATCAAACACTCTACTGACTGAGCCAGCCACGTGCCCCTCTAGAAACTTTTTTTTTTTTTTACACCCCTAGAAACTTTTTATTAGGCCTTCTGCTTGGTGTCAGGGCTTCTAAGACAGGATGGGTTTGAGGTTTTTGTTATTGTTGTTTGTTGTCCTTAAAGAACTCCCAGTCTAGTACTTGAAGTATCTTCTGTAGAAGGTTGAAGTGGATAAGTTAATACTTTTTGTGCAATATCTTATATTTTGGGGTTTTGAAGTTTAGTCAACACATATGAAGCAAGTGTCTAATACACTAACTTTAAGAGGAATGGAAATGATTCTCTGGCAAATATACCTTCAAATTCCTTAAGTTAATATCATTTTCCACCTTATAATATCCTTTTTTTCATTTTTAATTTTTTCTGGTAATCCAATCTTTATTGAAACCTAATTACCTACCATTTCCCCCTATATCTTTGAATTTACATAAATACTACTAATTATATTTTGCAAAGTGAAAGTGGTGTTCACTCACATTTGAATTAACTGATGCCCTGTCTCAGGTCCTGCTATATCATAAAATTATAAATATATGTTTCAGTGTTCATGTCATCCCAGTATTTTGATTGGGTCTTTTACCTCAGAAATAGCTACATTGTTTTAAATGTTTAAAATGTTAAATAAAAATATTTCTTAAAACAAACCTTTTATATCCAACTTTAAAATATAAAATGAAAACAAAATCATATTAATTTAAGAACTCATTACCAAATAATAAACATTTACAAAATCCTATTAGAATAATACATCTTTTAAAACTTAAATCAGAATTTATTTTTGTTGCACTTTAATGAAACATAGTCAATAAATGTTCAGTTGATTTAAATTCTAGAGAACATATTTACTTAAAATCGACTTTATTTCTCCACATTGAAAATGACATCTCCACTTTTCTTTACACATTTCTTGTAAAAGATCTTGAAATTGTCATAAAACATCTTATCTTACCATGTAATATAATTATATCACTTTTCTTGGCTTAGAAAATCCATTCTAAGCAAAATCTACTTTGACTCAAATTATAGTTAATAATGAAGGTGCACTAAAATTGGAAATTAAAAAGCAATCTCTACTGGCAATTCAGCTATCATGATTTTTCAGCTTAATGCTTTTTAAAAGGTGATCCAGTATCAACATGCAGAATCTGTAATTCATGCAGCCTTCGATATGCCACCCTAAGTTCTCATCCCAAACATTCTTTTATTATCATAGAGGATATCATTTTATATATATTTTTTTCAACGTTTATTTATTTTTGGGACAGAGAGAGACAGAGCATGAATGGGCAAGGGGCAGAGAGAGAGGGAGACACAGAATCGGAAACAGGCTCCAGGCTCTGAGCCATCAGCCCAGAGCCCGACGCGGGGCTCGAACTCACGGACCGTGAGATCGTGACCTGGCTGAAGTCGGACGCTTAACCGACTGCGCCACCCAGGTGCCCCTCATTTTATATTTTATACTGACTTTTTCTCTCTCAAGTTCATCCTTTCTTTACTCTGATTTTAAGCATGAGCTACTCAGTTTCTAAGGTAGCTTGATATTGACTATGAAATACTTTACACATGAACTGGTCCCTAGACACCATAGGCAAAAGCAGGTACACAAATTGTCAACTGTAGGAGGCGTTTTTCTCTGTCAGTGTTTTAACTTTGGAAACATTATCATAACCATGTGGAAATCATAGAATCCACCATTTACTCTTAGTTTACAATGTGGACAACTTATTAACATACCTTTCTAAATAAATGCATTTGTCTAATCACATTCACACATATATACAACCTACAAATAGCACAGTAAATGTAAAAGCCTTCCCAACTCCTTCCCTTCCTGTACTTTTTTCCTAGGGCTACTGTAACAATTAGCACAAACTCAGTGTGTTAAAACAAGAGAAATTTATTCTCTCACAGTTCAGGAGGCCAGACATCTGAAATCAAGATGGCTCCTTCTGGAGGCACTGAGGAAGAAAACATCTTTCCTGTCTCCTAGCTTTTGGTGGTTGCTGGCAATCTGTGGCATCCCTTGTAAATGCATCCCCCAACCCAGTGTCTCCGTTGGACAGTGCCATCTTCACATTGCCTTCTTGTCTGTGTCACTCTGTGTCCACTCCTCTTTATAAAGACACCAGTCATTGAATACAAAGCCCCAAAGGTAGTCTACCGTAAATCCAGGATGATTTCATCTCAAGATCTTTAACTAATTACATCTGCAAACATCCTATTTCCAAATAACATCACATTCACAGGTACCACAGGTTAGGACTTAAACATATCTTTTAAGGGGCGGGCAGGGAACAAACACAGTCCAGCCCACTCCACCTTCCCTGTAGAAGGAAGTTTAAATTGGAAATAATTTGGCACATTTCTTTTTTTTATACATGGAAAAATGGTAATTTGAATTACTATAAAGTACATATGTTAGAACTTAGTTTTATTTCTGTGGAATCATTCTATTCTTACTTTCCTGTAGTGTAACTTCATTCCCATTACCTTTGTCCAATTTCAATATAATGTACATTTTTAGCAGGTCCAGTACATAAATTTATTTGATTGTGTCTTTCTAGAAGGTGGACAAGGACATTGTCAACAGACTATACCTGTCTTTTGTTCTTTATGCCCTGCTCAAAGAGACCAACATTTGGAGTGTGTCTGAAAAATTTAACATGCCTCGAGGATATATACAGAGTCTTCTTACTGGAGCTGCCACGTTCTCCTCTTGTGTGCTACATTTCTGTGAGGTAATTCTATTAAACAGATGACACATGCTTTGTGCATCTTTTTGTTTTAACTGCTACCAAACTCGTAAACCATTTAGTCATTATTTTCTCATTGTTGACTTATACTTGTTTTTATCTGCTTAAAAAGTACTATATATACTAGCTTATAGTAAAGATCCAAAAATGACAAAATCAACTATATATATAGTGAACAAGTAGAAAGCACCTAGTTATCCCTACTCTTAGAACCACTGTTAATAGTTACAAGTATTTGGGGGTGCCTGGGTGGCTCATTGGGTTGAGCATCTGACTCTTGGTTTCGGCTCAGGTCATGATCTTACAGTTTGTGGGTTCGAGCCCCATGTAGGGCTCTGCTCTAACAATGCAGAGCCTGCCTGGGATTTTCTCTCTCTTCCTCTCTCTCTGCCCCTCCCCCAATCGCTCTCTGTCTCTCTGTCTCTCAAAATAAATAAATAAACTTAAAAAAAGTTAAAGGGGTGCTCGGTGGCTCAGTTGGTTAAGCATCTGCTTCGGCTCAGGTCATGATCTCACAGTCTGTGAGTTCGAGCCCTGCCTCACACTGTGCTCACAACTTACAGCCTGGAGCCTGCTTTGGATTCTGTGGCTCCCTCTATCTCTGCCCCTCCCCCACTCACACTCACTCTCTGTCTCTCTCTCAAAAAATAAAAATAAACATTAAAAAAAAATTTTAATAGTTACAAGTATTTGAAATCAACTTTTAAAACAACAATTCTCCATTGATGTAGAATCTGTGGGAGAATCCTTCTCATGAGTGATAACCATGTAAAGTATTTCATTAGTGTGTTACCAATATCCGGCAGCTACTTTGTGACTCTGTGGGACCATGCTCTCTTGATTTCCATAGTATTTTGTCATTTTTGATTCCAGCATTTGGCAGCTGCTTTAGGTTTCTATGTCAAGTGTTTAGTTTATAAGATAATTCAAGAAGAAAGCTATTTTGGCCATATGCATTTGGGTGACTTTCCTAAAAGAAGCTTTCAGAGTGTCCTTAAATAACACAACAAAGCTTATCAGATTTTTCTTCTTGGATAATTTTTTTGATGAATTTATAATATAAACCTTTTTTTGCTCATTTAAATTTCTTCTAATTGAGCAGTGTAATAATCCTTTCCGTATTTGTTCCTATACTCAATTTTTTAAAAACATTTTCCTCCCATGAATTTTATTTATTTTTTAAAGTATATATGTTATGGTTTTTTAAAGAGTTTATTATTTTGAGAGAGAAAGAGAGAGCATGAGAGTGATTGGGGGAGGGACAGAGAGGGAGGGAGAGAGAGAATCCCCAGCAGGCTCCACACCATGATCACACAGCCCGATGCAGGGACTGAATTCATGAACCATGAGATTGTGACCTGAGCCAAATCGAGTGTCGGACACTTAACCGATTAAGCCAATCAGCTGCCCCATGAATTTTATTTTTAAGTTTAAAGTCTTCAGTTTCCCCATCTTAAATCCCCATATTCTGTGTATGTATAATGGCAATTAACTCTATAATACGTACTAATGAGTAAATAATCCAAAATACTTGACTTTGGGGTGAATGATAATTATTTTAGCAAATTCACATTTCTAAATATCTCCTACTTATGCTGAGTTTTAGATATTAGCTCACATTCTCTAATCACATGCTAGCTAAGCTGTAGACAAAAACTATGGGTAATAAGGAGAGGCTAGCCTTTAAAATGTGTCTTCTTGAGTTTTCTATGTTTGTTGTTCTTTGTATATAAAGGCACTTCCCCTAATATTCCATCCTTAGTTTACTTAGGACTATAAGGACTTCAGCTGCATAGAAGTGTTCAAGCAAAAGAATCTATACATTGAACTTGAAAAACAACTATAATTGGATGTTTGATCCTGGAAACAATCTACCTGACAACTTGTGCTCTCATGAGTGTATTTTCAGTATTTTAAAGTGTTTTGTTTTCTTTTTAAAAAGTTACGTAAGTAGTATAAAATCCATAGTATTAGCTAAGGCACCTTTAACTACAAGTAATGGGAAAGCCCAATAAAGTTTAGTGAGGAAGAAAGATTATCAAATGTAACAGGAAAACTAGAGCAAAGGCGGTGCCAGCGTTTCTGGATCCTAGTTCTGTCCAAGGTTTTCTTCTCTTCACTGTGTCATCTTTAGTGCACGGACTGCTTTTCTAGGGACCACAAAATAGGCAGCTAATGCTGTTCCATGTATCACATGTGCTCACAATGACACTCCAAGGTTGGAAAGTGACCTTTAAAAAAAAACTATTCTAGAAAATCTCAAACATAAAATTAGACAATGTAATAAATACCCACCCAGCTTTAAGTTATTGACCCAGGGTTTCCATTATTGTTATTGTCTTAAATATTGCTTCTGATATTTTTGCTGCTTTAAATATTGCTGCATCTTGCATCAGAATTCTTCCACATGTAATATTCTGTCTACAGGATAAATTCCCAGAGGTGGGAATTGTTTTCAGTCATTTGGGAAAGAAAAACTATCCATTCACTCGCTGGTGTTTTGATAAAAATGAACACAACTCTTCTTACTGACCTATTTTTCAGTTTTTAATCTTCTTCCTTATCCCAAAACCACTTCATCAGATTCCTCTGTCTCTGCAGTGTTTCTTTAGAATAATTTTGCCTGGAATTATTGTTCATCTCCGGCTTACCCCAAGTTTCAGAACTTACATAAGGAAACATCCTCTCTGAGCCCATTACCACACCAACCAAACTTTGAAATAACTTGCCAGATTTAAATTAATTCTGTATGTTTCTTTGTGTTCTGCAGGAACTTGAGGAGTTTTGGGTTTATAAAGCCCTTTTGGTAGAACTTACCAAGAAGTTGACTTACTGTGTAAAGGCAGAGCTCATTCCCCTCATGGAAGTGACTGGAGTTTTAGAGGTTAGTAGCTTCCCATCCCAGTTTCCCAACTGGGATGATTTCAACTAACAGGAAAATCAGATTTTACTCTTTTGTGAAGTGTTATCATGAGGTGAGTCATAATAACGGACTTATTCCTCATTTGCCAGGAGAGTTGATTGTTTTTCTTTTTAAATAAATTGCTGCCATGGCCTCCCAGAAATCCACTGTTAATCTGGCAGCAGCCCTGATGAAAAATCACATTTGTGAAAATAGAGTAACAGTAGGGCTAAAACTGATACTCCCCAAGTATATGTGTGCTTCCATTCGTCCTTAGCATCTCTCCCTTCCTCCACTCTAATGACGAATTACCTTCTGTCAGGTTAGACTAGATGCTTGTTTCAGGAAGGGGTGATTTGGTGGCAACAAGGCTGGTTTCCGTTTCCTAAGAGGGTGAGAAGAAAGCATCCTCAGCTGGTTTCTCAGCTCTGTGTCTTTAACCAACTCTTGGTTTCAGCTTATTCTGTTATTCAACCGGAAGCATTCTTCTGCTCGGGAACACACACGCGCGTGCGTGCACACACACACCCCAGTGGTCCCCTGAGTAGATAGTGAACACATTTTAAGGCTATTGGACTAGAACATGTTGATGGGGAGTCTGAACCAGTGCCCCTCACCTGAGTGCCTTAATGGGTTTCTCATTCCTGATTGCAACACACACCAGTTGACTTAAGCCACACAGAAAGCTATCTTGCAGTTTGGAACCACCCAAATCCATCTTTTAAAATTTCTCAGGGTTCTGTTGTGTTATCTCTTCATATTTACTTTATTACCTTCATCTGTTTCTGTCTCTTGCATGTGAAATTTTTCCCTTCAGCAAGACACTTAATTGTTTTTCCTAATCCCAAATTCTGATCCTACTGATTTTTGTAATACCTTTTAGGGTCGAGCAAAACAGTTGTACAATGCAGGTTATAAAAGTCTAACGCACTTAGCTAATGCAAATCCTGAAGTGCTAATAAGAACAATCGATCATTTATCAAGACGCCAGGCCAAGCAAATTGTTTCATCAGCAAAGGTAAGCAAACAAACCATTTTTTTAACCTTCATGATATTTTGTAGTGTTATCGCCTTATACTTTGGACATAAAAACAAAAACATTTAACTACAAGACACAAAGGCATATACTCACAATATGTGGATAAAAACTGTGCATCTGTTATGATACAAGGCTTCCTAAAAAGAGAAAAAGACCTCCTGAAAATTAGGCAATCTCAAGAGTTCACTGAAGTACAAGGAAGGCTGGATCTCACGGAGTTCTGCCTCCTCATCTTTTTTCACAGAAGTCCTTTCCTCAGCATCCCCGACATCTGGCCTTCCCACTTTGAGCACCTACATTGGCATGGAGCTTACAACCTCAAAAATTAGGCAGTTCTATTTTTGGACACTTGTAGTGTTACAAAAAGCATCTCAAGATAATGAGGCTAAATGTTGCTTGCTTACAATGTCTACCATTACATTGTAAGTACTACCCTCTAGAACTGTTCTGTTATCTTTGTTCATATGGTGGTTTTTCACATATTTGAAAACAGCTCTCTTTGCCTCCAAAGGTTTCTCTTTTCTGTTTCTTTCATCCATATTAAATAATCTTGTTTTAGGTGATTTACTATCCTACTTACCCTTTTCTAGATGTAGGCCAATTTGTCTTATTGACCTGTCCCCATCGTTATTGGACTTTCTGATTTTGGGGGGTATATCTGTCAGGCTCTAATTATTAGGAACGGAAACCACACAGTAATTTGAAGAGGAACATTTAAAATAAAGAATTAGTAACTAGTACCAAAGATTACTGGTTGCTTTCTAAGGGGTAAACAGAACTTCAACAAACATGGGAATGAATCATGAGGAGCATGTTCACCCTCACCTGACACCACCCCCTGGGGATGGGATTCAGACTTCATTGGAGAGGGTGTGGCTGTGGCTCACTGGACAGCAGATAAGTTCTTTCGTTGTGTTGCAGCCGATGCTGGCAAGCAGGAAACTGCCCGCTGGGATGCTGACAAAACTGTCCAGACACTCCCAAGGGTGTGCTGTTGAACTTGCTTGGAAACTAGCTTGAGTAACCATGATCTCAGGGTCATGAGTTCAAGCCCCACATCAGGCTGTGCACTGACAGTGCAGAGTCTGCTTGGGATTCTCTCTCTCCCTCCCTCTCTGCCCCTTCCCCACTGGTTCTCTCTCTCTCTCTCTCTCTCTCTCTCTCTCTGTGTGTGTCTGTCTCTCTCAAAAACTTAGTGGCTTAAAACAGCTATTTTATTTTGCTTATGTTTCCAGAATCCTAATTCTGGAAAGGTTTAGCAGCATGATTTGCACTTGGAGTCTCATGCAATTACAGTCAGATTTTGACTGGGGCTGTAGTCATCTGAAGGCTTGACTGAATTGGAAATCCAAGATGGTGCATTCACTTGGCTGGCAGTTGAAAAGTGGCTGTTATCTGGGGCTTTCAACTGGAACAGCTACATATGGCCTTTCCATGAGGCTTGGTTTTGTTATAGCATGGCAGCTCAGTTTCAAGAGGAAATGTCCAGAGAGTGAACATTTCAAGAGAGCGAGGCAGAAAAGGCAGGACGTCTTCTGAACTAACCTCGGAAGTTGTGTAGTGTCACTTTTGCTGTATATTGTTTGTTACTAGAAGGCCATTAAGATCAGTCCAGATTGAAAGGAAGAGGAATTAGACCCCACCTGTACAAGAGGGGAGTGCCAGATAATCTGCAAGCATCTGTAATGTCTGCTCTCTGGTCACAGATAATTTACATTTCTCTCACATGCAAAATATACTCATCCCTACAAGATTTATTCCTTTATGGCATCAGACTCAGGCTCAAGGTCTAATATTCTAAATCAAGTCTAGGTGCAGGTGATGTTCCTTGAGCACAATTTCACCAACAGATTTCTGGGGCACCTGGGTGGCTCAGTCAGTTAAGCGTCTGGCTCTTGACTTTGGCTCAGGTCATGATCTCACAGTTCGTGAATTCAAACCCTGAGTCAGGCTCTGCACTGACACTGTGGAGCCTGCTTGAGATTCTCTCTCTCTCCCTCTCTCTCTGCCCCTCCCTTGCTCGTGCTCTCTCTCTCTCTCTCTCAAAATAAATAAGCTAAAAAAAAAAAAATTGTAAAAAAAAAATGGTTCTGCTGGAAATTGGCAGGTATTTTTAACTACAAGTAATTTGAAGCTGATGGTGTTCTCTGTATTCTAGTAATGCTGACACGTGAGTTTTGGGCAGTTTACTTGGTCTTGTTGATCTGTATCGTTTTTAGAGGATCTATTGGGAGATTAGTTTTACGTGGTCACCATTACCTCAGCTACTGGAAAGCTTACCTGATTGCATTTTAATCTCTTCTGTATATAATGCTATGTAATGCCACGCTTGGAGTGGGTTTGTCGTATGATTTTTTCCTCCACGTGATTTTGCAGAACTTTTTATTATAAAACTTCTGTAACAGAAGTGATGCAAATACTACACCCCAGTATACACAAAACCCAGCTGCACAAATACCAACACTCGATTTCTGGGCTTTTGTTCTTAAAGTTGTTGTTGTTTGGGTTTTGGTTTTGGGTTTTTTTTTTTTTTTTTAAATGATGTCTATACCCACTTACAACCCCAAGATCAAGAATTGCACGTTCTACTGGCTGAGCCAGCCAGGCGCCCCTACTTGTAGTTTTTAAAAGAAAGAGGGAAAATCATTACTCAGCAAATATTCACTGACGTTTACTATGCACCACGTTTAGAACTCCTTTCTTGGCTCTTTATGTTTCTTTTGAAATTAGCCATGTTAATTTTAGGAGCTTGAATAAAATTTTTCTTTGAAACACTGATAGGTTTTTAAAAGATAGCATACTAAACTTTGAGGAATAATAAAAAGCATATATAAAGGATAACATTTTCAAGAGCTAATTAAATTTTTGCAAAATTGTCTTACATTTTATAGATTAAAAGTTAATTTTTAAGTGGCTGAGTCTTCAATAAAACAAATCTTTGAGGGTCTTAAACCTCCTTTATTTTTGGTGTACCAAATGCAGTGCTCAGCTAAAATGGCTTTAACTCAATGCCTCAGCTTCATTTACTATAATCACTTGTTCTTAAGTGGCTATTTTTCAGTCTCATTATTAGTTTTAATGTCTACATCGCTGATGTATTAAGATTCAAGTATCTAATAGACGGTGGTAAAAATGTTCACAATTCTCTGGCAATGCATATTTTGGTCTCATGCCTTGATTTTTTATTGCAGATGCTGTTGCATGAAAAAGCAGAGGCTTTGCAAGAAGAAGTGGAAGAGTTGCTGAGATTGCCTTCTGATTTCCCCGGAATTACCTCTTCCACCGAGAAGGCATGAAGCCATCTGACAAGCATTTTCTAAGATGACTGACTTAGTAGACATATTTTTCTTAAAGACTCTCTATAATTTAAAAATGAAAAAATACATTTTAATTATACATTAAGAACTGTGGATGATGTTTGAATATACCTCTCACCCTTCCCACTAATAACCCATCTTCTTCGATACCTGCACGTTATTTCTCTGCTCAAAAATCTAGTGTCCTCCACAAAATGAGATCCAATTGCCTCAGCATATCTCCGGCCTGCCTTTGCTGCTAGACCTTTTATTATTCTCTTAATACCTCCTTTCATCAAACTGGACTAAATCCCAAAATTTTCCCACGATTTCCAAACTCTTCCTTTCCTAATTGCTTTAATGCTATACCCACTGCATCTTTAATATGTACGGTATGCCCCAGCTGTCAACTAAAGATGCGCAAACACTGCCTCCTGGCTGAAATTGTCCAAGTACGTCCTGATCCCCACCCCATACATGCTTCTTTCCCTCCTGTAAGTATTCTGAGCCTTTCATTATGCCCATGTCCTTTTTCATACTGGTAGTTTGAAACCTCCTGGAGGACCAAGACCTTTTTTATCTTCTTTGGATGCCACCCGGCACCTAAGCCCAGTGTCACACACCAAGTAGGAACCTGTGCTAAGAATGAGTACTACCCGAATTAACAATTCAAAGATTCTCTTTAAACACAACTTAAGTCGCTTCTCATCAGGGAAATACAAATCAAAACCACACTCAGATATCACCTCACACCAGTCAGAGTGGCCAAAATGAACAAATCAGGAGACTATAGATGCTGGAGAGGATGTGGAGAAACAGGAACCCTCTTGCACTGTTGGTGGGAATACAAATTGGTGCAGCCGCTCTGGAAAGCAGTGTGGAGGTTCCTCAGAAAATTAAAAATAGACCTACCCTATGACCCAGCAATAGCACTGCTAGGAATTTATCCAAGGGACACAGGAGTACTGATGCATAGGGGCACTTGTACCCCAATGTTCATAGCAGCACTCTCAACAATAGCCAAATTATGGAAAGAGCCTAAATGTCCATCAACTGATGAATGGATAAAGAAGTTGTGGTTTATATACACAATGGAGTACTACATGGCAATGAGAAAGAATGAAATATGGCCCTTTGTAGCAACGTGGATGGAACTGGAGAGTGTGATGCTAAGTGAAATAAGCCATACAGAGAAAGACAGATACCGTATGTTTTCACTCTTAGGTGGATCCTGAGAAACTTAACAGAAACCCATAGGGGAGGGGAAGGAGAAAAAAAAAAAAAGAGGTTAGAGTGGGAGAGAGCCAAAACACAAGAGACTCTTAAAAACTGAGAACTGAGGGTTGATGGGGAGTGGGAGGGCATCTTTTGGGATGAGCACTGGGTGTTGTATGGAAACCAATTTGACAATAAACTTCATATATTGAAATAAATAAATAAACACAACTTAAACATCACCTGTCTCCCATCCCTTGTTAGATTTATAGCTCGAATGTATGTAGCTGGTTATCTGTAGGAAAAAAGGTAGTAAGTAGCAATGATTCTTTTTCCTTCTAGCTTTTTTTTTTTTTTTTTTTACTGTTTATTTATTTTTGAGAGAAAGACAGAGCATGAGCAGGGGTAGAGAGAGAGGGAGACACAGAATCTGGAGCAGGCTCCAGGCTCCAAGCTGTCAGCACAGAGCCCGATGCAGGGCTCGAACCCATGAACTGTGAGATCATGACCTGAGTCGAGGTTGGAGGCTTAACTGACTGAGCCACCCAGGCGCCCCTAGCAATGATTTGGAGTAACGGACCAGTTTAAAGTTTTATTCACCTGAGCCATCCATTGGAAACTTTGCAAAAAGACCCACATTCTAAGTTCTTCGTGCCTTAACATCTTCGACTATTTTAAGTCATTTACCTAGTAATTTCTATGTGCCAAGTACGTTGTAAGTCTTTCATGTGACTAATTTAATCCTAACAACAACACTGTATGGCTCATACTATTATTTCCATGTCCATGAGTAAATGGACACAGAGAAAACAACTTTCCCACGGAAACTGGAAGTTTGAAGCCCTAACTCTGAGGAGTTTCACAAGCCATCTAGTCTATGGCATCTTCCCAAACTTTGTTTTTCTTTTTTTAATGTTTATTATTTATTTCTGAGGCAGAGAGAGAGAGAGAGAGAGAGAGACGGAGTGTGAGTGGGGGAGAGTTTAACAGGAAGACACAGAATCTGAAGCAGGCTCCATGCTCCTAACTGTCAGCACGGATCCTGACATGGGGCTCGAACTCATGACCATGAGATCATGACCTGAGCCGAAGGTGGATGCCCAGCCGACTGAGCCACCCAGGCACCCCTTTTTTTCTCTCTTGAATGGGCATAAAGTGTGTTATCATAATTAAGAGATCTGTGTACAGCTATGAAAATGTAGGCTAACAACAATGTAAATGTAAAAGCCTAGCTGTTACAATGCTACATGCTAAATGATTGTCTTTTTTTTTTTTTAATTTTTTTTTCAACGTTTTTTATTTTTGGGACAGAGAGAGACAGAGCATGAACGGGGGAGGGGCAGAGAGAGAGGGAGACACAGAATCTGAAACAGGCTCCAGGCCCCGAGCCATCAGCCCAGAGCCCGACACGGGGCTCGAACTCACGGACCGCGAGATCGTGACCTGGCTGAAGTCGGACGCTTAACCGACTGCGCCACCCAGGTGCCCCTAAATGATTGTCTTTTTATAGTATTGCCTGATCACACACAAAATTGGAAAAACTCCACAGGCAATAGACTGTCTACTCCATATAGGGTGCAGTAACAGACATTTGATTCTGTGTAACTTT